GCCTTGTTTTAACCTCCTTGTTTTTTTTTTTATCAATGGGCTTGCCCATTCTATGAGAATGATCCTCCCACTCAACTGATTAGTGTAACACAACGGAGAACAAGCCACTGCTGACAATGAAACTGATTGAGAACTGAGTCAGTTGCAACCATACTGTACAAAGAATGAACAGCACATTTTAGCCTAAAGGGAAGAAAATATATTTAAAGCTCCCTCTACTGACTTGCTACAGTACAGGTCATACCCCCCTCTCTGTCTGTAATGTGTGCTTTGGATTAACAGAGTAGAGGGGAAACGGCGAGAGGGAACATGTACACTAACACAAGAGACATTGAACTTTCCATAACCTTGTCTGTTTTTAAACTTGTACCAACCGGGATCTTTGCTGTTGTATTATAAGTCAAATGTGTGTTTTCTCTTTTGGAAACATAGTGATGTCAGTATCACTGCTCTTTCAGCCGATCCATACTGCGCAGTACTTTTCACAATACATTGTGGGATATAATGTGAGTCCCTTATAAAGTGTGTAGCAATGTACACTCAGAATCTGCACAGCACTACAAAATGGTGTATTTAATAATGCGCTATAGTGAGTAGTGTTTGATGTCGGACACAGCCCTGGTTTTGATTACCCCCTGTACATTTGGTCTCTGTGTTCCTCTCCTTCTGTGTCACTTTGTCATATGTTTCCATGTTTGGATTTTATGTTGGCCATGGTTGAGTTTAGTTTTGGATACTGAAAAGAGTAAACTTTCATTTTTTCCTTTTGTTTGATAAAGTACATTTCTATCCTTCTGCAATTTGGCCCTGTTCCTTACTTTAAACCCTCATTGTGACAATACATAAATCATGAATTTACATGAAACGCATATTGTTGTGGCGTGGTCCTTGCTACTTAAAGGCATTTCAATTCCACACATCCCACAGTTTGCCTTCAAAATGTTATTTTTTTAGCAGAGTTTGCTTTTTGGATTGAGACCACTATTCGTCCATACAGTTACCCCCTCACAAGACAAATAAAGCATTTTAAAATATATTTTTCTTTCAAGATGCTGAACAATAATCACTGGGGATTTGAAAGAGTAGATTTCAATTTCCATAAACTTTTGAACTTTTTCTCTCTCTCATACAGAATTGAAGAGTATACCTGCCTCCAAATTCCAATGACTGACCCTCCTTAATCATGGTCCTTTAAGATTACAGGGATATTGTAAGGTTTTTGGCTGTGTGTATGTGTATGTGTATGTGTATGTGTATGTGTATGTGTGTGTTTTGTACGGTGGCAGAAAACTCTTCAGTGAGCAGTGAACGTTTCAGGGGCTGATAAAGTACCTTTGGTTTCATTTCCTGGAGATAAGGCTTTATTGTAAAATGTGACGTAGTTATACAAAACTCTCATGTGAGGCTCTGACATGTCCTGCTGCAGCAATAACAACGATACTATTGATAAGTCACCTCAGTTTCATCTGTTTTCATTGTACATGTTGTACTCAATTGAACAGAGATGATAAGATTTCAGAGCTTTATTTGTGAATATTGATCAAGAACAACATCATTACACTTCACTTTTGTAAAACGGTTCTTTCAAAGTTTCTATTCTGATTGTACAAAATGCTGCTGCATTTCAAATCCATTTCAGTTTCATGAAGTACTCTGCTACCTTGTTAACAACATTTTTTACATATAAAGAAGTGCTGGTGTGTATTAAGTTTGTATAGACAAACATTCACCAGAAAAACATGCAGTTCATCAAATTAACCCATAAGAACCCACACCCATTTCCCCTTATAGGAAACTGATGTGTGTCACAGAACAGACCAAATGGACCATAAATAACACATTTCTCACCTTTTTTTTTCAATAGCACCCCCTTGTGTCAAAGATCTGAAAAGTTACAAATTTGTCACATTGGGTGTTTACTGTGATTATTTTTCTTCATTTAAAAATGAATGAGATAAAAACTTTGGTTGCTTACTAACAAACATTTGCATTTGTTTGCATTCAAACAGAAACAATACCTTTCTAAAAGGTTAAACAACAATTTTGGTCTTCTCAAACCAGTTTTTTAGTGCATTAGAGAGCAACTGAACAATAAACAACAGATTCACACAGAAAACCTGCCAAAACATGTACTTAAGTACAGAAAACAAAGGACTGCTGAAAAAAATAACACTTCTTTTGCATTATCAGCAACATGTCTTAACAGTTTCTCACATTTCACAGGCCAGTGTTCACTTTTGTAAAACGGTTCTTTCAAAGTTTCTATACTGATTGTACAAAATGCTGCTGCATTTCAAATCCATTTCAGTTTCATGAAGTACTCTGCTACCTTGTTAACAACATTTTTTACATATAATTCAATTCAATTCAATTCAAACTTTATTTGTCAACTTTATTTGTCCCCGGGGGGCAATTCAAAGGCACACAGAGCAGTAAATTAACAACAGTGCAAGTAAACGAAACATTTTAATCTAAATATAAAGTGTCAATTTAAATACAACTTAAAGCTTAAAATACAAAATATAAAAGAGTAGATATAAGTGGACAGTGATCGGACTAACAGATGTAAACAGATGTAACCAGAACTATGTGCAGTAGTGACCAGATGTAAACAGAACTATGTGCAGTAAACGAGAAATACATATATATATATATATATATATATACAGAACTATGTGCAGTAGTGACCAGATGTAAACAGACCTATGTGCAGTAAACGAGAAATAAATATATATATATATATACAGAGCTATGTGCAAGTAGGCAAATACTAAATGATAAGTTATTAAGGTGCATGGTGAATAATAATGGAACAACAGAACTAATATATACAATATAACTGTAAGGTAAAAATGAGATAAATAAAGTGACCGTAGTGCAATGATGGATAAGAACAACTGGAATAAATTAACCAGAACTGTATGAATACTGATATAAAATGGATATAATAAAGTGATGTAGTGCATGAGACCAGATAAAGCAGAGGCAGTTAAGGTGCACGGCAAATATAAAGGAAGTAAAAAGCAAAGTTCACAGCTAAGACAACTGAGGGGGGGGGGGGTTAGGAGTTGCCAGACAGCCCTGGGAACAAAGGTTGCTCTTCTCCACTGTGTCCTGCAGCAGGGACAGCGAAGCCGGCGTCCTGAGGGGAGCCACTCAAACGCTGAGAAGAGAGCGTGTGAGGGGTCGTGCATGATCCGACCTGCTAGCCTGATTGTCTGTTGCTCATAGATCGATGTCAAAGTCCTTACAGGTCGTCCAATGATCTTAGAGCAGACTGTGACCGTGCTCTGCAGGCGGTTTCTGTTCTGGAGGGTGGTGGAGTGGAACCAGCAGGTTATAGAAAAAGTAATGATGCTCTCAATGAAGGAGTAGTATAAGGAAGTGCTGGTTTGTATTAAGTTTGTATGAATACTGCATATATTATGTTAGTGTTAGTGTGCCTTCAAGTATTTAACAGAAAGCAAGTATCCCGTACAGCATGAGACAAACATTCACCAGAAAAACATGTGCGGGACAGGACAAAGACCTAAAAATAACAAAAACAAGGGCCTCAAACAGCCATTATTCTTTTTTAGGACAAAATCAATTGCTTTCTTTTTGCCTTAGTATGTATGTCTGTTCTTTCCTTCTTTACAGTTTTTATTAGATAGCCAACAAGCCAAAGTTTTTTTCATCTTCTTAGAGGCCTTTGGTTCCACTATTCCTGAAGTCTACCTGTCTCACCTGTTGATCAGTCTGCTCTGGTTGGACCGATAATGAATTTAAATGAACTGCTCCTCTGGCTAAGAAACCCAACCCTCTGCACCAACCCAGCTTTTCAAACAGTTTGTTCTGGACTGGTCTTTTGTTTGTTTTGGTGACACATGCTTTGGGCTGTGCCTTTTGTATTTTTAATGCTCTAAAAAGAGGTTGACTGGTATAAATGAGCAAAGACGTGTTTAAATACATGGTTCAATTTCCAATTTTATTGAAATTTTTACAACATTTAAAATATAAGCACTGCAAAAAAATATTGATTGTATTGTATTATTGTATACAATTAAGTATTTGACAGAAGCAAATTAAGAAAATAGTTCAACTTTGAAATGCACTCAAAGAAGGAGATAAAATATGACTATATTTCTTAGTACTACAAAACACACCCTGCTGATCTGGAAACAAACATCCTTCAACAGCTTTAATTGCACAAACACACACACACACACACACACACACACACACACACACTCAGTACCTGATTTCAAGTTTATTGTGAAGCCAGCCTCCAAAAATGAGATTAATTGTCGCCAATAGAAACAAATGTTCTATTTCATAGTCATTATAGCGGCTAATGTTAATATTAGACTGATCATATTTTGTTGTTACTGCTGTTACTCATACATTTACCATTATTACTGGTATTGTTATTGTAGATCTGTTTTATTATTAATTGTTGTTGTTGCTTTGTTTGTCTCTGTGCATATCCTTCTTGCTGTATCTCCTGCTATCACACTTTCCAACCCCGACTCGGTTGGAATTAGAAAAATGCAACAATCGATTGACCAACAACTTCAAGCATACAGTATTTTTTTTCACTCCAACTACACATTGCAATCACAAATGTTGTTTGTGAATTAGATGCTTTTTCCAAAGCTGCTGATAGGATAGAAAAGGGATTTTTTTTCCCGAAATGACTGCATAATGGCTCATTTAAATATGTGCAAACAGCAAATGCCACACAGAGACACTATTTGTTCTGCAGGGCAGATAGTGGTACATTTCATCTTTTGTGTCTTGTGAATTAGATGTTGTTTTTTGACTCATTTGCACAAGTTTAGCAGGCGCAAATACCACACAATCCTTTTGTGAGTCAGCCCTCACTGTTTGTTTTACAGACAGAATTATTCAGGCTGTGGCCTCTGTTTCACATTAATGCTACAAAAAAATGTTTGAAACTTATTTATAAAAAAATACAACAACAAAAAAACAGACAAAGTCAAATATGAATAGTCAAAATACAAATTGCAAATACATTTATATTACAGAAATATAAAATAAGCTCATATATATATATATATATATACACAAGTCACATTTAAGTGAGTTGAAATTTGTCGACTGAAATAATCCCCTCAATGTCCTTAAACTGTGAAACTGTGAGGAGAAGGATAAAGCTGTTACCTCAGGCCCTATCATGGAGCAATCTTTAGTTTCAGTCTCAGCAGAAAGTCTCTTAAGCAAATATCACATGCAAAACACACACACACACACACACACACACACACACACACACACACACACAGATAAATCACACAACCAAATCCATGTAAAATGAGAGCATCCTCTTCCTTGTATTGTCAGGGAAATGACACACTGCGTTTTAACTGAAAGTTTCAGTGAAACCCAACACCTACTGGCCAACAGCTAATGATAGAGCCAAACACACACATATACACGCATTAAGAAGCAGGTGTAATCATATTCACATAATGCAACAAAGGTGGTTTAGTATAAATACAACATGTACTCAGAGGAAGAATCACTTTGAGTCTGAAGTCACAACTGTTGGATAATATAGGTAGAAGATTGGCGTTAAAATAATGCAAATACAAATGCCAGCAAATCAAAAGAATTATTTTCTGTACACACAACTTCATCTCGGAGTCTTCATGATAGGATTCACTATCTAACAGCTAACAAATAACACAGAAACACAGACAAAGAATGAACAGCAAAGATTATCATTTTCTTTTTTTTTTTTTTTTTTTTACCAAAATGTTATCTAATCAAACATAGTCTTTCCTGTCATACCCTCCACCTGCACTGGCGCTGCGCGGGGCGGAGTAGGCCATCCGAGGTGGCTTGTACTTCTTCTCTTTTGGCGGACAGCTGCTGCACAACATCGCACCTCCTATCAGTAGCAAGGCGGCGGCTCCCCATCCAATATAGAGCGATGCCCCAATCTCCCTCCTCTGCGCGTCGGTCAGGAGAGGGTTGTAGAAATCTCTGATAATGACACTGGCGGTCCAGGAGACAGGGATGAGGACTAGAAGTCCAGCGAGGACGAAAAAGATTCCAGAGATGATCATCACTTTGGCCTTTGACGGCTCGTCTTCGATGCAGTTTGTGCACTTGGCACCGACGATAGAGATCAGGACTCCCAGAATACCCAAAATGATGGCGATGATCAACATGGCTCTGGAGGCCTGCAGCTCCCGAGGCAAAGCCAGTAAAGAGTCATAAACCTTGCACTGCATTTGGCCTGTGCTCTGGGTCACACAGTTCATCCATAAACCCTCCCAAATGGTCTGAGCAGTGATGATGTTGGCTCCAATGAAGGCTGTCACCTTCCACATTGGCAGTGCACATGTCACTATGGCAATGATAAATCCAATGGCTCCAAGTGCAATGCCCACAATCTCCAGGCCCATCGACATACTGGCTCTTTGTCTGGTGACAGAACAAAACTTAAATGTGGGGTCTGCAGATTTTCGAACAAACAAAACCCTTCAGAGTGCAATGAAGAGTCACCTGCTTTGTTGGTCCTTGTATAGTGTGAGCACCTGTAAGAGGGTGTGGTGTAGCTATGAGATGCTGCCACGGAAACAAATGATCCTTTATACCGCAGGGGAGCTAGGAGGAGTCCCCCTAGTGATGATGTCAACAGGAGGCTGTTCGCAGAGCAAAAAAAACAACTACCCACAACTGTGCACATACAGTGGAGGAGGGGAGCTTGAGGCAGGGCGGGTGAGGACGGATGTAATGGAGGGAAGGTGTGGTTCTTTGTATGTGTTGTTAGTAGGGGTTTGTTACTGGTAAGATGGCTGCCTCCTGACTTGAAAATCAGCATTTCAAAGGAGAACTTCCCCTACACCCCCACTTCCAAAAATAGTCTTCTTCATGATGTTATTGATCAGTAATTCCAAGCTATATTATGAACAAGGTGATTTAATTCAGTCTCATCTAATCGATTACTGATCCTCAGAGTGGAAAATAAAATATATCATTGTTTCAACATAAATGCTGACTTACATGCAACCATTAACCACGGGGTAGCAACAGAAGAGAAGCTATAGCCTCGAGCTACTTAGAATGCTTGTTGTGAGTAAGCATAGAAACATACCCCCCTCCCACACACACACACACACACACACACACACACACACACACACACACACACACACACACACACACACACACACACACACACACACACACACACACAATTGTGCAAACTTGGACTAAAAGTAGACTCCGTCCTGCTGGTCTCTTTTAGTTCCTGGTCAGTCATGTGGGTTTCTTAAATATGTAGGATTTGGTGTTCGAATGGAAACTGGAATAACTGCACCAAGAGCAAATATGAACAGAGAGAAAACATAATAGGTTGGCTTCCTGACACCTTAAGCATACAGACAACGGATCTTCTCAGTATCGGTTAAAGCCTTTACTCTGACCAAACACTTCCTTGTTGAATGCATCGTGTGTAAAGGAAGGTTAGTGCACAGTAAAAAGCCATATAGGAACGCTCAAATAAGGTTTTTAAAACACATTTATCACATTTTTTTGTACAGATAAGTTATTTGGATTTGTCTCTTTTTTGTGGCTGACAAATGTTTAAAGGTGCACCATGTAGATTTTGTAGTGAAATTTGAAAGTTGGAGAAGTGAAACAAATAGATGCTATATTTTCTGAACAAAATACACAAACTTTATTCAGAGGAAAAAAAGGTCCTTGAACACTGTTTGGAGCTTAAAAAGCTACCAGAAGAGTTGTGGTTTCATTGTTGCGGGCCCCCCAACACAACTTCTCGTGTACAATTTTATCTTCAAACAGTGTTCCAGGGACCAGTTTTTCCTCTGAGGACAGTTTGTGTATAGAGTAATGAACATATACCACAGAATATGTACATTTCTCCAACTTTCACATTTCTCTACCAAAACTACATAGTGCACCTTTAAATCAAACCTAGCACAACCTTTGTAATAATATATTTCAGGACGTCAATGTCTTTTCATAGTTAAAGAAACTGATTGTCAAATTTAACAAACTGTTAAATTGAATTTAAAGTGAATTAAAACAAGATTCATATTGACAATTTGTCAACAACACTTTTACGTAATGCTTTTTATAATAAATATAATGATACACTTTTTGTTGGGGGCGGGGGTTTGGTTGAAAAAGCTTAAATTTAAACATAAAAACAATCAATCAGTTTTTTAATACTGGTAACTGTAATTTACATACGCTCCATTGCACGCTTGCCCATTGACACATTTTTCTTTTCTCAGTAATTGATCAATAATATTACACATCTTTATTTGTACAGTGCCAATTCACAACAAATGTCATCTCAAGACACTTTACAAAAGAGGAGGTAAAATACCTAATTCTTTGTTACCCTCACATTATCAGGGATCAGTTTGGAGCCCAGAAAAGTTCTGAAAAATATATACAAACAACTATTAACATCAACAAACCCAAGGGTTGGGCAATGTTGAGTCTTTGTTTGTCGTTTAATCAGGAGCATCTTCAACCTTTGTGTTTATGTAACTACATCAGTTAATGCATCACTCCTGAGATAACAGCCATGATGACCTAAAGGCTGACTGTTTCAGAACACCTGTGTTTACCAGCTGCTTGTGTTGACCAAAACAAGTGCAGAAGTGTTAACGAGTGTAACATTTCATGCCAACAAGGTTGGTTTTATTTTAAATTTCAAACCATCACATAAGTAATCACTATGGAGGAGCTAATGGTAAAGCTATATAACTCAATTTGTTCAAATTATAAATTAAATCATAGGGAGAAGTACGACAGAATTTCTGCTCTAGTGTTGTGTACAATTTGGGCTGCCATTGAAAATTTCCTTTTTCTGCCACTGTAAACTTGTACTAAGCCTCATTTCAATAGGAAATATTTTGTTATTACTCTGCATGTTTTAAAAAAAAACTGTAGTTACTTTCTCGAGTAAGAAAATAAATAGTCATCAAGCAATCAATTCGATTATATATATTATTCTTAATCGACCAATTTCCTAATTCTATGTCCTTTTTTGGTGCTTTAGATAAAAAAAACACTAATATTAACATTTTTTCTTATTTACTTAGATGAATGCATGACTCATTAATCTAAACAAGTATTTCTATGGCTGGGTTTTACCCCTCTTAAGTAAAACTACTATTTGGTGGTGTCCTTTATGTTCACAGAGGTTTGTTGAGTTTCAGAGAGTCAGTGTCATGTGTACAACATTTCCAGGTGCAGAATGAACTGGCTGCTTTACTGCAGCTGAGCGCACCTGGTGGAACTCTGAGCGTTATTTGACTATTCAAAACAGGAAAAAGAAGGTATCTGTAGTTCAGAAGGTCATCATATACCAAACAGAAATAACTTCCCTTCCACCAAATGTCTGTATACCAAAATGTGAAGGACAATCAGCACGCAACTCTGACCTAAGTGGGGGAGGACATCTCTGTCTTTCTAAAACATTGTCCACACCTTTCTTTCATGCGCTTGTTGTAAAATGGCAAAAACATGGTAACAGCCACGCCAGTATTATTGAACTCATGAGCTCAATCTTTGGATCTTATGTCAATTAAAGTACATTTATAAGACTTTTTTTTAAAAAGTGTACTTTTTTATTTTTCAACACTTAACGATCATCGTAAAGAATCCACGCTTGTCCAAAGTAATGTTTCATAGAAAAGAAAAAATCTTTATTATTATAACATGTTGATTATTGAAATCATTTAAATAGATACTGATATAATTGTATTTATAAAGCCTGCTTCTAACATTTCAATAATGCTCTAACTTGTCTCTCATACATATATATTTATCTAAAAATAGAAAGTTATTTAAAAGCAACTACCTTTGTAGAAAATGCAAACACAGCCACATCATGTGTAATGTATTCGAAACAAAACAAGTCAAATTCCTCTCAAGTCACTTTCAACAAAACCTGTGATTTGTTAAACTGTACATGCTACCATGTTGGCCTTGCTATGGAGCAAACAGTGGACCCCTTTCATGCTCGGCCATATAACATTTCACATCTGTGACTCTATATTCATATGATAGCAGGAAGAAATATAACACAAAAGAGCCGTTTGCTAGCTGATTACAGTCAAAACAGTCACAGCAGTGTCCTTGTTTGCTTTGTTGTAGTAATGACACCTGTACATGTATTTACATGATCAACATAACTAGGACCATTCACAAAGTACCAGATATAGGTAAAATAAATATATATTTAATCTCCTGTATTTGGTCACATCTTGTAAAATTTGCTCTTATCCTGCCTACTTTAGAAAAAAAAACTTTTCTACTTTAGAAAAAAAAAGTTAAAAGTATCACCAAACATGTAAATAGATTTTCTGAATCTTTTTTCTTCTTCAGAAAAGTATCAACAAGCTATTTATCAGACAGGTTTATGGTCCTAGATATCTTGTAAACTCCGAACCTTTGCTTTGTCCCTTTTACCATAGTCCAGTGAACAATCAGCCTCATTTAAACTGGTGAGGTTATTATTTAGCTATAATTCGGAACATATGTCATGATAACTACATACAGGGTGTAGTTTCCCCATTTAAACATAGTCCCTCCTGTTGTAGGAGCTCTGAGCAATTGATCTTGGTGCAGCCGAGTAGGCTACCCGACTCTGGGGGTGCAAGCTGTACCTCATTGGTTTATCTTCTTGTGGAGGGCAACTGCAGCAGAGTATGGACCCACCAGTCATGAGCAGGGCTGCAGCAGCCCAGCCCAGGTACAGCGCAGCCCCAATTTCCATCTTCTGACCACTGTGGAGGATTGGACTGTAAAACTCAACTACAATGGTGTGTGCTGACCAGGACACAGGCACCAACTGAGCCAGAGATGCTGTAATGAAAGCCCCACCTGAAGCAGCCATCACCCTGGCTTTCACCCCCTCTTCGTCAATACAGTTGGTGCACTTTGCTCCTATCATGGCAATGAGGAGAGCCACAAGCCCAACGATGATGGAGACAACGGTGAGCGCCCTAGCAGCCTGCAGGTCCGGAGGTAAAGCCAGCATGGAGTCATAGAACTTACACTGCATCTGGCCTGTGCTCTGGAACACGCAGTTCATCCACAGCCCCTCCCAGTACGCCTGAGCTGTGACAATGTTGGCGCCAATGTAGGCAGAGACCCTCCACATTGGCAAAGCGCAGCTGATCACGGTCAGAACCCAGCCAAGTACTGCCAGAAGAATGCCTGCTAATTCAAGTGCTAAAGACACCATGGTGAATCGAAATAGGGCCCCCTCTTTGGACTAAAGGTCTGTGTATTTGTCCTTCCTTATTTGTCCTTTTTTTCAGTTCTTTTATTCCCTCCTAATGTTCTGGGAAAAAAGTCCTTTATGATTTATGCTCTCCCTTATGGACGCTTCCTTCCATCAGGTGTGTCTTCTACTCCGGCTGTGGTTTCCGCAACGGCTGCCTAGTCCAGAAGTTTCGATGTTTCACAGTATGCTTCTTTGAAAAAAGCCCTGCTTTCGTCCTGATCAAATGCTGTCTCCCCCAGTTCTGCTGCAGTTTAGGAGATGACGACCCTTATCTATGCAATGTTTTATTACTAACCGATCAGCCCTCCATAGTAATGACATCACTCGCCAATCCAAACCAATCAGGTGAGTCCTGGGCATTGGCCTCATTTACCACCTGGGTGTGTTGGTGCTATTTTGTGTGCTCCTTCTCGAATGGAGAGTATTTTTATGGTTTAACCTTTAGCCCATGGTAGCTCTGGGTGTGTTTGCTTTATTGCTGTCAGGAGGTAATGAGTGGCCAAGGCAGAGCTTGTTATGTGGTTTATAACTGACCACATGAGACGTAAATGATATACGTACATGTATTCTAATGGATATGTATGCGTGTGTGTGTCTGTGCATGTATCCACTGTGTTTGCAAAGATAGGGATTGTGTTTTAGACAGAGGAAGAGAAAAGGAAACGTCAGCAGAGAAAATATCTTTACTATCTTTTTATTTGTTTTGCTTTAGATTGCGACATGTCATTTTCTTTATGACAGAAACTTGTAGCATCTCCACTGGGTCACACAGTTTATGTGTAATCCAACAATTCAATTTGAGTTAATGACAAACTAGATACTCTATGAAAATTTGTTTTAAATATGTGACTATAGCTTCTATGACCTGTACTGCCGCCCCATATGTATGTGGGGAAATCCATCCTGCATATGCTCTTTTGTAAAGCGTCTGGAGATAACATGTGCTATACAAATAATGATTGATTGATTGATTGACTGGACTACAGTAAAAAATAAATAACTACAGTGCTCTTGAATAGTATACAAAGGAACATGTCACTCTGTGTAACTTTGTGCCTATTGTTGTGTTTTATTGATTTTGGACAACAAAAGTAGACTCTAGCACAGAAGTATACCTTGCCTTTTAAGTCAGACTTCGGACACACTAACATTCTAACAACATTGTTAAGCAGATTGAATAAAGGTTTGGTAGAATTATTGATGTGTTGCGGTTTACATAATTCTGTTTTTTCTTTTAAATCGCGTTGCAACCCAAGTGATCACGTTAGCACCACTGTTACACTCTGACACTTCTATCTTGTGTACGTGTTCACATTAGCACACAAGCACGTTCACAAGAGAATAGGTAACCCAATAACTATGATAAGATAAAGGCAATTCATCGACATTATCTGGGCATTTAGGAAGGAGAAAGACACAATATTGCCACCAATCAAAAATCGTCTGATTGTGGTTACAATCAAATTCTCTCCTTACATTATCTTACAGGAAATAATTTTGTATAGCCGCTGTGACACAACAATGAAGCTGTTTGTTCTGTTCACAAAGAGATATCTATTACCCTATAAAGTGGTTACATCCAACTAGCCTGACCCTTATCCTGACCCTTACTCTAATCCCCCCAAAAAAGTGTTTTGGGATTAGAGTTAGGGTTAGGGTAAATTAGGTTTGAAATTTGATTCTAGCTCAAGCCCTGCTTGTTTAATGATTCAACACTGTGATGCCCCCTTATAAACTGCCCTATGGAGGCAGTTCTCCAGCATAAAATAAAACGTGTTGACAAGCTGCTCTGACATTAACCACCTAATTATCACTCTTCGTTGACATTTTAGTGAACTTATTTTATCTCGTGTATCCTGCATGTAAGTTTGACTGGGTGAGTTGTTTGGCAAGAGTTGAAGAGATTCTACTTAACAGCCCTATCTCTTTCGAGAGTTGATAAATGAGTTTCAGCACGCAGGGGAATTATCCATTTCCCTTTTGCTGCCATGCGTGTAGCCTGATTTCTGACAGTGGGCGTTCTTCCTCCTTTCCAGGAGCTGAGAAAACACGCAAATGCCATTTCACTTTGCCTATCTGTATGTGTGCAAATTCTATTTCAGAAGAGTTATTGTATGGATAACAGGTTTATCTATTTGGTAAGCTGCCAAGAGAAATCAGATAACGTATGTGCATTGATATGCAACTACACTGCCACCACACTGATCATAGTGACCTAAATTTAAGAGAGAACACTTGTAAAAAAATATCCTTCCAGGGTGAAGGAGCAGAGATGTTTTGTTGGCAGAACTGTATAATTCTGCATTAAGTTTATGAGACATGTACACATGTAGAGAGATGTTTAATGTGGACCTTGCTTTGGGCTGCACAATATGGTTAAAAAAAGACATTTCATTAATGTCTGAATGTATGTTACTTAGTGTGTCTGGCCGCTCGGAGATGAAAGCCCAAAGTCTTTGGCTATCAGTGACTGACACAAAACTAATCCATATGTGCTGGAAAGTAAACATTGCTGCTTGGCTAACAGCACGCATATGCTGCCACAGGTTTAACCAGCACTGCGACGAGGTACGGATGGTAACAGGAATACACACATTGAAAACGTTGCTTATCTTCCTTCAGCACCCAGCCGACAGTTTCTGTAATCGCAGCAGTGTCTAGTGCTTGCTGTCAGTCATACGGCACACGCTGTGATCTGGTGAAGGCCTGCAATAATCTGATATCGAAGAGACTCTTGTACATTTTCTTGTATAAATGTGTGAGTTTTCACTTTGAATTAGGCACCATAAAAGTGGTAGCATGTTTGTACATGTTTATGGTCACATGCATTACCCTGCATGTTCTTCTATGTGACAGCTGCATGCATGAGCACATCCCAACTGCTATGGTTAAATTAAATGTTGCGCAGATATCTCTGCTAATTAGACAATTCACACATAAGGTTGGCTAATTTAACAATTTAGATAAGTTGACTACTATATCTAACATTTTTGGGGAAACTATATCATTAGGAAGTCAATGGCTGTTTTGTTTGGTCAACAACAAAAAAATGCTGTTATAATGCCATATTTTTAATGTAGAAATGGCATGAAGCACAAATTTGACTTAGTTATAATAGTCTGTTCAGTTCATTTCTTATTCTGTAATTTCTTTCACAATTGACTAGACTGCTGTTATATAAAACTACCACAGAAACAGAAACGAAATCATATGAAAGACAGCTACCTTTAAACTGTCTATCATGATGAGTCAGTGGCAGTAAAATGTCATAGAAACTGTTGGCCTTAAAGAATCTCACAAACGTGGTACAGTACAACCCATAATTCAAAAAACAATTATATACATGTGTTTATGATTAATATAATAAAGAGTGTGAGTTTTATTTTAAACATTTATCAGTATTTAGATTTGAAATATGTGTTGCCCAATCAGCAGCATTCCCTCTTAAACTTCCGGTCTTAAAGAATGGCATGGTTTTCCACTGGCAGCTTTTATTAACTGATACTGCTTTATGAGTGCTCTTGAGTCACTATACATCGTTAAAAAAAGGTCAGGAAGCTTGGATAATGGCTGCTCAGAGATTTAGCAAACAGCAGTAAAAATGTCTTTAAAAGTGGGGGATGCCAAATTTTCACAACTACCCAGATACACTTCCTTGTCTAAAAGTATAGAGACCAACAAGAGCTGACCAAAATTAATGAGTGTTTTGTTTTTAATTGCTTCATCGTAGGAAGGTAAATGAAATTTAAAGCTAAATTAAATTGCATAAAACTTGAAACACTTTTTAAAAGACACAGCATCCGTATCATCTCTGCTTCCTCTGCATCAGTGTTGATTCTATCAGGTACTTCAGGCTAGATAATGTCACAAGTTTGTAAGTGTACATCTCCAATAGCACTCAAATACACTCCCACAGTGAGAATGTTGACAGGTGATTTGAAAGAGGAAGCTGCTGCCTCCCTTTGGGCAAAGCAGAGTACTGCAGACAGAGGATTTAAGCTTCAGAGAGCTTCAGATTTTACATTTATGTCTGCATGGTTACACCATTTTGAAGATGTAAAGTTGGGACCTCTCAGATAGTAGTAAATCATAGCACTTGCACTTACAATGACCCTTCTTTTTGTTGCCCTTTCCCACACTGCCCGTTTGACATCAATTTTAAAAACGGGCTCTTTTCTTGTGATCTTTCAAGAACAAAAACGTATATGTTCATGCTTACAATCAGCCTTTATTCTGATTCACAGGACACACACAGGCTGAATCAAACAGTCAACCAATGTCTTTATTTCACATGATCTTTTCATCTTCACTCATATCTTTTAATTGAATTAAATTGAAGTGAAATGAAGTTTTTATTTCAAACATTTTAAAAGAGAAGAAAATAAAACTAAACAAATTAACAGACAGACAGAAAAAAAAATAAGCAATGAAAAACATAATAAAAAAGGAGTTTTCAAAAACTTTAATTCAATTTACATTATAAAAAAAACGAGTTGGAAGAAGTATCTCCATAAATAATTTATCATCCTTTCAGTTTTCTTATTTTTATACATATTTAAAAAAAAAACCTATACATTGATTCTCTTAATTTGTCTAAGTATATAAAACATATGTACATTCATAAATGGCATATTACTCTTAGTACTCTTTTAGATATAAATATATAAATATATGTGTGTGTGTGTGTGTGTGTGTGTGTGTGTGCGTGTGTGTGTGTTTGTGCGTGCGTGCGTGCGTGTGTGTGTGTGTGTCTGTGTGTTTGTGTGAACACCCATCCACATACCCATAACCAAATATATACATAGATACATATTAACACATCCTTATATAAAAAAGTAGAAGATAAACCATTATTTGTGCTGTTCCACAAGATCTGCAAACTTTAATAGTTTTGACTGTAAGAATAATGAGTTTATGTGATCCCTATCTGACAGTGTGAATAAACCATATAGCTCTTATAGTGGAGGTAATGAACTTTTGAAAGTATGGCCCCAAACCTCTGCATAGTACCAGTGAACAGTAGAGAATGTGGAGTGATTTATGATCCAGAACCTGCTTTGTATTGTAAAATACTGAAACGCTCCAGACAGGATGTGCGATAGTGTGATTTCTAGCTAATGTTTTTGTCAGTTATAACCCCAAGAGACTCTCTATTTCAATTTTAGCCCCATCTATCCATATCTGCACTTGTAGGTTTATTCTACAGTTACCACATAGCATTATTTTAGTTTTGTTTAAATTGAATGATCATTTGTTTCTGTCAAAAACATTTCTTTAAATTACTAATTTAAGTGATCTCCATCAGTCATTTATGTAAATTATTTCCAAAACAGAAAATATTTCTATCATCCGCAAACAATACTACATTCAAAACATTTGACACCTTGCATATATCATTAATCCATCCATCCATCCATCATTTTCTTCCGCTTATCCGAGGTCGGGTCGCGGTAGTAGCATGTTCAGTAAGTCAACCCAGACTTCCCTCTCCCCAGCAACGTTTTCCAGCTCCTCCTGGGGGATTCCGAGGCGTTCCTAGGCTAGACGGGATATATAATCCTCCAGCACATTCTGGGTCTGTCCCGGGGTCTCCTCCCAGTTGGCCGTGCCTGGGAAACCTCTAAAGGGAGGCGTCCAGGAGGCATCCTTAACAGATGCCCAAACCACCTCAAGTGTCTCCCTTTGATGCGGAGGAGCAGCGGCTCTACTCCGAGCTCCCCCCAAATGCCCGAGCTCCTCACCCTATCTCTAAGACTGAGCCCAGCTACTCTCCGGAGGAAGCTCATTTCGGTCGCTTGTATCCGTGATCTTATTCTTTCGGTCACTACCCATAGCTCATGACCATAGGTGAGTGTTGGAACGTAGATCGACTGGTAAATCGTGAGCTTTGCCTTCAGGCTCAGCTCCCTCTTCACCACAACGGTCCAGCACAATGCCTGCAGTACTGCTGACACCGAGCCAATCCGTAACTGTCAATCTCACATTCCACCCTACCCTCACTCGTGAACAAGACCCCAAGATACTTGAACTCCTCCACTTGGGGCAAGGACTCACTCCTGCATATATCATTATTGTACATACAGAAATAAACAGTTGAGGCCCCAACACTGACTCATGGGGGACTCCACAAGCTATGCCCAGACATGAATAACAGACATTTCCCCTGCTTCTCAAACTGTTGTCTATTAGTTATAGCTTTTTACCCACTTCAAAACAGCCCTTGATGCCAACAACATATTTTGTGACCTATAGATGTCGTAATTTCCTTAACTGATGCTATAAATGCATGTGATGCTGATGTGTTTGATCTGAAACCAGACTGACTGTCAGTGAGTCATCTGTGTTTATCTAGGAATGTGTCTAATCTGTTATTGAAGAGTTTTTCTAGTATTTTGGAGAATTGTGAGAGTAAGTTTGTAAAGTGTTTTTCCCCCTGTTTTGTAAAGAGTTATGACTTTTGCTATTTTCATTTTGTTTTCAGATTACCTCTTCAGAATGACAAGTTACAGATTTAATGGTTGTGAAATCCTGTAAATTTCCTCTACTGTCATGTCAATTTCACAACAGCTTTTGTTTTGTGTTGTCTTGTTTTGTTTCAACAATATTCATAATTTAATTCTCTTCCACTGCTGTGAGAACCATTGAGCTGAGGTTTTTATCTATGAGCTTATCATTGCTTTCAGTGGTTGTCACAGTAACTGGGATTGTTCTGCTAGTTCAGGCCCAACATTTACAAGGAATTCATTGAATTTACCTGACCAAATCTTCATATTATAACTGTCATTATAAAGAATACTCACAGTAACCATTTTTTAAGATATTTATTGATTGACTGATTGATTGGAGGCATTATTTGTCACTCTTTGAACTCTAGCAGCTCAATACTTTGTGAAGGTGTAATGGAACAAAAGAACTGAGCACAAGACCATATTTGGTCAGTCTCCAGTTTTTGTCGGATGTATTGTCATTCAAAGGAGACTGAGTCACTTTGCACTCAGGATTTAGCTCCACCCTCCTGCTGCTTCAGGTGAAACTGGGTATGGGGGATGGGGGGATAAATAAATAAATCCTGTTTTACAACCAACTTCTTTAATAAGATACTTGTTCTGTGTTATAATGATGAATTGTATCATGCATATGGTGCTACATGATGGGCAGTTTAAATGTTTTGTTTGTTACATCAACGGCTAAGAACGGCTAAACAGGTTATGTGATTGGGAGTGGACCTGAAGAACAAGGGCTGTTGACGGAGAGCTGTTTTGCTTCCTGGCCCCTCCTCTTTAACAGTTGAGATCATATGTACCTGCTCTCTTTTGCATCCCCAACCATTCAGAAAATCCACCTGAGTAAAGAGGACACAGCAGAAGACCAAAAAAGCATATTTTCAAGAGAGGAAGTACAGAATACAGCGAGAACTTTCAAGTCACAGCTGACCAGACAAAGAAGTTTCACTGAAGAACAAGTCCACAGGTCCACAATGGTGTCTGCTGGGTTACAAATGCTGGGGGCAGCTCTTGGTGTCCTTGGCTGGATTGGTGCCATCGTTGTGTGCGCAATTCCCATGTGGAAGGTCTCAGCTTTTATTGGCAGCAATATCATCACCTCGCAGACCACTTGGGAAGGTATATGGATGAACTGTGTACACCAGAGCACGGGGCAGATGCAGTGTAAGGTCTACGACTCCATGCTGGCCCTTAGCTCCGACCTCCAGGCTGCCCGGGCCCTGACCATCCTTGCCATTGTGGTAGGCATCCTGGCTGTCCTGCTAGCTGTAGCCGGGGGTAAGTGCACTAACTGTGTGGAGGATGAGTCGTCCAAATCCAAGGTGGGCATCGCAGCTGGAGTGATGTTCATCGCGGCTGGGATCCTTGTCCTCGTCCCTGTCTGCTGGACAGCCCATACCATCATCCAAAACTTCTACAACCCCCTGTTGATCAGTGGCCAGAAGAGAGAGCTGGGTGCTGCACTCTACATCGGATGGGGAGCGGGCGCTTTGATGCTGATTGGAGGAGGGCTGCTCTGCTGCAACTGCCCACCTAAGGATAATGACTCGTACACTGCAAGGTACAAGGCTGCCAGATCTGAAGCCTCTGCACCAGCATCCGGGAAAGACTATGTCTGAAGCAGACCTAGAATGACTTGTTTTTACTGGGACAGATAAACCAGTGCTACTAGGTTGTGGCTAAATGAATTTCAGATTTTATTTGAGAAAAATGTATTCCTGAGTACTACTCTTCATGAGTGTTGAGGGGATTGATTATCAAGAAAGGAACCACTGCCAAGGCGGGAAAAAAACATGTTAACACAGTTACTTGCAAATGATTTGTAGTTATTTTTAAGCCTTTTCTATGAATGACCAATGTTGTATAACCTCTTGTTTTTGATATAATGTATGCGGGTTGTTTTTACGAACCATGTTTAAGAGATTCATGATATTCCATCTATACTGTAAATAAACCTTTTGTAACAAAACTCTTCTGCTTTTGTGATAATGTTCACACACATTCACACAGCAGCTGTGTGTGACATAATGTGATAATGTTATTGTTCAAAACTGAGCAAATCATTGAAGTCTTCACAAATTCTTGATCTAGCTTCTAATGTTTTAAAACACAATTTTTGATGCATTGATCTATAGTTGACAACGGTTAACAGTTAGACGGTTTAAAACATACCCTCAACGCCTTTAAGAAGTATTTGTCATTATGATTTCCTGTAGATCAGGTTTAGGTGTGGCAACAAAAAAAACAGGTCTTCGTTCAAACTAAGAGCCTGCCGGCATTTTGTACCTGTACTTTGTGTGGACTCACTGGATCGATCTTTCATTTGTTTTGAGATGAAATATAAAGATGCCTGGCAATAACCACATCCATTTTCTAAGATCTTTTACTATACTGATTCTATTATGCATGCTCATGTCTTGCTGTTTAATCTTTTGAGGTTTATTATTACTTCCTCTAAGAATACATTTTTACTGGTATGAATAAAAGTATAAAGTACCTCAACATGCAAACCAGTATTCAACATGATACCACAAGGTTAAGATGGTTAGGGTGACATTTTGATTGTGATGTTAATAACAAAAAGTGACACAAAGGAATATTCTCGAGTGTGTGCTTGCTTAAGGCTTGACCTAAGTAAGCTGTTTGTTTGTGTCTTTGTGTGTGTGTGTGTGTGTGTGTGTGTGTGTGTGTGTGTGTGTGTGTGTGTGTGTGTGTGTGTCTTTGTGTGTGTGTGTGTGTGTGTGCGCGCGCGCGCGTGTGTGTGTGTCTGTGTGTGCGTGTGTGCGTGTGTGCGCGTGTGTGTGTGTGTTAGCACAGGTGGATCTAGAGCCATTGTTCCTAGGCTGGAATCCTTGCTTGGGGGTAACAAACCTTGCTTGTGTGGGAACAATGAACTCAAGGAAAACAAGGGTAGTGGATATCAGTTCTCAGCTTCCCAGCTTTTGTCTGTGATCACAGAAACTCCACCCCGAAAGTTAAAACCACAAAAGTGGGCAGATACCTTCTCACACTAGGACCTCAGATTATCAGAGCAAAGCTAACACTTGGCCAAGCTGGAGTGACAGTAAAATAAATTCAAGAATTAACATCCTCTGTTGGCTTTGCTTGCGTTCAGAACCGAGTAATCTCCAAGGCAATACATTTTCAGAAGGACACTTTGAGGAGACCTCCTGGCTGCAGTAACTTAAATATGGCTTCTCAGGGCCTCCAGATCATGGGTGTGCTGCTCGCCTTCATCGGCTGGCTAGGCACCATTATCACCTGTGCCATGCCCATGTGGAGAGTCACCGCTTTCGTTGGGGCGAACATCGTCACTGCCCAGGTGATCTGGGAAGGCTTGTGGATGAACTGTGTGGTTCAGAGCACGGGCCAGATGCAGTGTAAAGTGTACGACTCAATGTTGGCTCTACCTCAAGACCTGCAGGCGGCCAGGGCCATGGTGGTCATCTCTGTGATAGTCGGGGTGTTTGGCGTGCTCATGGCCGTGGTTGGAGGAAAGTGCACCAACTGCATGGAGGACGGAGTGGCCAAAGCCAAAGCGTGCATCACGTCTGGGGTGATCTTCATTATCGCAGCCCTACTTATCTTGATCCCAGTGTCGTGGTCGGCTCATGCAGTGATCAGGGACTTTTATAACCCTCTGGTGATTGCTGCTCAGAGGAGGGAGCTCGGAGCTGCACTTTATATCGGTTGGGGCTCCGCTGGGCTGCTGCTGCTGGGAGGAGGCCTGCTCTGCAACAACTGCCCCCCCAAAGACAGCAGACCCTACATACCTGCCAAGTTTGCCCCTGCAAGAACCGCTTCATCAAATGTGGACTATGTGTGAGTGTTTTCAGTTACAATTGCGATCACTTTTTTTTCGCTCAATTCTGTTGACTTCTCACTAAAAGGTTTCTGCCAACAAAAGAAAAAAAGTGTTCATGTAGTTTATTATAAAAAACTTAGAATTACAATTTTTAAATGACAGCACATTCAAATATATTGTCTTTTTTAAATGTTTGATTTTGGTTTTCTGGTTTAACGTGTGAAATGATGTCAAAGACACTGTGAAAGACTACTGTTCACATCTGCTTTTATCACTTAAAATATTTCCAGAACTGTGAATTTAAGGGCTCAAAAACAAAGATTTCTATCAGACAATGTTTTGGACATAGATACGTATTCTTAGAAGTTGTACTATTTCCAAAGACTGAGAAGAAACGGTGCTCCAAAATACATGGGAATACAGAAAACCTAAAATGTAATTGTTTTTTAGATTGCTGCCTAGAAAAGTTTTAAAGGTTGCAATTATTTTAAATTGAATATTTGACCATCGAAACATGGACTGTATATAGTGATTAAATGAAGACTGTTGACATATTACTGTAGTTCAAATGTGATAAAATAAAGCTTCTTTGTTCCTACAGTTTCTTATGTTCTCTTCTTCTTGTTGCACTCTGCACCTGCAGACACACTATAATAGTACTGAAACTTAACTTCTCAACATAAACTTGGGATAAACCTCTCAGGAAGGCAAGGGGGCAGATTCCTGGGAATGACTGTATCTGGTTGAAATGTTTGCCATGTTGTAATCTACTGCCCTTGAATCAAAGCGTTATTTACAGTTTCTGTCTTATCTAAAATGGATGTCACGGACAGTGTATGCTTGGATTCATGTTGCTAAGGAACTATTTTATTCCTCCAAGGAATGGACATTTACACTTTGCACAGTAAGAGCACATCTGCCAAGTCTTGTCAGGATAATTTATCCCGAAGCTCTTTAATGGTTCTCTTTTTGTTCAGCGAGTTTTCAATTGAAAGCCGTCTGACAAGGAAAACAATGCTCCCCTGTAATTTTTCACTTTTGTGTCTGTGTCCATTTTGGACAATAAGATGAGATGAGAAAGCAAATGGGAAAGCAAAGCATGTGAAAAAGGCAAGTGTTTTCTTGAAAATGTGACCTACTTGTATGTTGAAATACAACATTGTATATACAGTGAGTACAAATACTACAATCAGCCAGTGGCTTCAAAGTCTGCCTATCAATTGTAAAAGCATTTACACTATGTCAATGCTAAATGTTACATATAATATTGGATTATTCATTCTGATCTGTAATGTTTGAAAGTGTAACACTCATTTAAATCTTTCAACTAAGGAAGATGAATGTGATTTATTTTACTATTTACTATTACATATAATTAAGGTAAGATGAATTTATCTCTATTACTAATGTTTGCTATCTCTATTACTAAGAGGCTGTCCAATCTGTATGCTGTACTCACTCTCATTGGACTCTCTTGTTGAGTATTTGACTCTATAAACAATGTCTTATTAGATAATAGGATCATACTTTTTTATAGTAATTTGTTGATATCAACTGATATGAAAATCATACGTTGAAAAAGGGCAACGTTTAACCTTAAAACATAAATTCTCACAAGAAGTATTTCAAAATTGAACATACTCACATCACACAAGCAAATGTAGTTTTCTTCTCCACTTCAGACAAAAAAAAAAAACACAGTTGACAAAAAATACTGTTTATTGGAATAAAAAAGCAGACTATTTGAAAAAGACTCTTATGTTGCAGAAATACATAGATGGCTCATCAGGATCGTTTTATCCTGACTGATTTAATTATTAGTTTTTTAAATGACATTTATAGCACAACATTTATACAATTTAAAAAGATATGAATTAACCCGACTAAAATTATACCTCATGTTTCAATACTGTGTTAGCATAGTAACATGACACATAAGGTCTCTTGTAAACAAAAGGCTACAGTGTGTTAGTTTAAAAAAAGTTAGTCACCATTCAAATCACAACTTGATAAGAAAACAGGTTTGGACAGTATGTCAATTTCAGTGCTCTTCAAAATGTCCTGCTTTAAATGTTGTGCAGCAAACTAGACAAATTCCTTCCCGGGTGTTGTTGACTTAGGCGGGGAATACTTTGCTCCACTGTAGCGGTCTCGTCCCGATGGGCACTGACAGCAGAGAAGAGCCCCACCGATCAGCAGTAGTCCAGATGCTCCCCAGCCCATGTACAGACAGGCACCTAGCTCCCTCCTCTGGGCATCAGGAACCATTGGGTTATAGAAGTCCTTTATGATGGTATTAGCAGGCAGAGACACCGTCACCAGACACAGAGCCCCACTCAGGATGAAGAAAACACCTGCGGAGATGGCCACTCTGGCTTTTGAAACTTTGTCTCCAACACATGTGGTGCATTTCCCTCCAACCACAGACAGCAACAGGCCGAACAGAGAGAACAGGATGGCGATGACCACCATAGCTCGAGCGGCCTGGAGGTCTGGAGGCAGGGCCAGCAAGGAGTCATACACCTTGCATTGCATTTGTCCCGTGCTCTGCACCACGCAGCTCATCCACAGACCTTCCCAGATGGTCTGAGCCACCACAATGTTGTTTCCAATGAAAGCAGACACCTTCCACAGGGGCAGCATGCATATCAGTATGTTTCCAATCCAGCCAAGCACCGCCAGCCCGACGCCCAGAATTTGCAGCCCTAAAGACGCCATTTCTATTTGCTCCTGCTACTTCTTGTGTTTAGTTCTTCACTGGGCTGCCAACTAAAACCTCTCCTACTGTTTGAAGTTTTTTATATGACCCACAGAAGTCCCCAAGTAGCCCCCTCCTCTGCTCAGATAAAACCATCCATCATGCTGCCTTTGAGTTCAGAGGAGTTTCTCTCACACAAAGAGGCCGTCTGGTGCCCCAACAGAGCTCTGAGAGAGAAAAGAAGATGAAACCAGTGTGGTTCAGTTAAATGCTCGCCGATACTGTAAAAGTTTCAACATTTAAATTTGACCCTTTTTGGAAAACAAAAGTTTATTGTTTAAGTTGTTACAGACCTCAAGTCTTTTGCAAACAAAATATGACAATAACAAAAAATTATAAAAGGTGACCAGTGATGTTCAAAGAGTGAGGAGGTCAGCCAGGAGGTTAGGTGGGATTATTTATACGGTGAAGAACATAAACATAAACACACAGAATAGCAGTAGTTTATAAAATAATTACTTATTATAACTATAACTTATTAACTGCCAGCTAACATTATGAAGCTATTTGCTGCAATAGACACTTTGTGATAATAAATAATCGTGTGAGCAGAAAAAAAGGAGACAGATGAAGGTCATTCAAAGACTCTGCCTGAAGTTACCGTGTTTTGACCTAAAGGATCATGAAAACATGCTTTCATGAGAATCATTTTTGTATTTACAATGTCGTTAAAACATTGTCTTGCGCTTCAATATTTTGACAAACAACGACAAACACAAAGGTGGCCAATGTGAATGTCATTACTTTTGCAGGTTAAATTATAATCTTGATATGATGATAGTGCAAGAGGAAATGTGAGGAGCCAATCCAGCCAATGTAGTTGCTCAGATACTCACAGGAGAACTAAAACTCACACATTGGTTGTGACACAGTAAAAGTCACATGTCTGTTCAGATTGTCATGCTAGTTGTAGAAATGTTTTAGGAAGAAAGAAAATGTTTGACAAACCAATTAATCATCTTTGTGATGCTTAAAACCACGGAGCTGAAATCTTCAAGTTCAAAACCTCCAGCTTTTGCACCACCAAGTGGCAGTGAATGTAAACTCACTTTTAACTGAACACCTTCAGATAGTGGAGAGTAAGTCTTGTGTGAAAAACCTGAAATAAATTATTAGATTTAGCCTATTATACATATTGTTGAACAAGGGCTGCAGGAGTCAAAGTTTATAATGTTTTGTCTAAAAGAACCTAATATGCTAAAGTACTAAATATATTATGTTTTAAAGAGTTTTTGTTTCACTTGGTAGAAAAAATGTAAATGGCACAATCATTTCCTCTAAGGCTGTAAGGTGTTATATAAGCTTATATATATCCTCTTTGGCTATCCTTTGACCCTTTTTTGCTCTTTTTGGCGAATACAACATCTAACAAGCAGACCCAGCAGGTTAGCTGAGGCTCACTGACCAATTAGCACAGCTGAAATCACTCAGCTTGATTGCTACACCGATAACAAAATATTAAACAAAGTGGCCAACAGGAATTCACCAGGGAAATCTCATGTTTGTTTTCTTTACAAAAAAAGCTAATTGTAAATCAGGACAATTCATGAAGTGCTCTTAATAGAAGAATGGGACTACTTGGCAATTAACTCATATGGAAATAAACCCTGCAATGCTTCGTTTCTTACAATGATTCTTCTGAATTACCAATTGACATTTTTCATTCAAATATATTTTAAACAAAAGTCACGTGTGGAAATGTACCTGCAACATGTTTTTGAATATTCTTTACTTATGACTTTCGAGTTTAAAAAAAGACTCACTAAACAACAGAAAATGTAAAGCATAGGCTACTTGACACAAATAAGGGGAAATAATTGATAATTTTGATTTGACTAAATAAAATTCATTTATTAGTGAAGAGAACAGAAAGATAATAATGTACTTCATTTAAAATGTAAAATACATGCTACTAAAACTTTGTCATCTCACAACACACCTAAACCAAATCCAACTTTGACTTACACTACAAATCAACCAATATGAGGATAACACTATGACACAAATTTCTTCTTCTGTTGAGTTTCATGGCTGTTCGCATTCATATGTGTTGCATTACCACCACTGTCTGGATGGTTGTGACTCCATTTAATGACACAAACTTAATTACCACAGGTGTTCTCAATTTGAACAATTATGAACAACCAATCAGGGGAAACAACACCCACCATGTTGGTATAAAACTGCAGTTCAGAAACTAGCTGGTATTGCATTAACACGGCAACTGACTAGTCACTCAGCTTCTCGTAAACTTCTGACCACGATGGCATCTGCAGGCCTCCAGATTTTTGGAATCTTCTTGGCGTCCATTGGTTTTCTGGGAGACATCATCATCTGCGCTCTGCCCATGTGGAAGGTGTCTGCTTTCATTGGAAACAACATTGTGACAGCGCAGGTCTTCTGGGAGGGCCTGTGGATGAACTGTGTGATGCAGAGCACCGGACAGATGCAGTGTAAGGTATACGATTCCCTCCTGGCTTTGCCCCGTGACCTGCAGGCGGCCCGAGCCCTGGTGGTGATCTCCATTCTGATTGTCTTCATGGGAGTCCTGTTTGCTGTTGCTGGGGGAAAGTGCACAAACTGCATTGACGATGAAGTTGCTAAGAGCAGGGTGGCCATTGCTGCAGGCGTGTTCTTCATTCTTGGTGGAATCCTGTGCCTGATCCCTGTGTCCTGGTCCGCTCATGCCATCATCAGGGACTTCTACAACCCCATTATGATCGACGCACAGAGGAGGGAGCTTGGAGCGTCACTGTTCATCGGCTGGGGATCTGCAGGACTCCTGCTCATTGGCGGTGCACTTCTCTGCTGTTCTTGCCAGAGGCGGAAGGATAGCAGATACTCTGTTAAATATTCTGCACCTCGCTCAGCAGCCAGTGGTGGAGCTTATGTTTGAAAGCCCACCTCGTACTCATGTTCGCGTTCTTTTCTTGCTCCAAGAAATGGGACTGAAACTCTTTAAGTAATATTTTAATGTGTTTTACTCCAAATTTTTTTTTAAATTAAAGATTTTATTGATGAATTTAACCTGGCTTGTTCGTGTGACTCTCTGCAGTTCTCTACTTAAAGTACATCGGTAAATAACTGCTTTTAAGCAAGCGTTTCACCTAATGTGAAGTGACCTCTTGAGGTTGTAGCGACGCACAGGTGCTACTGGTAATTAGCGGTGGCTCAGTACGGTTAAGTCACTGGTTCCACGATCCAGCATGTGAATATCAGGCTTACATTATGAAGGGGTTTCTTCTTAACAGCTGACTTGCATTTACATGAGTAAGGTAGCTGTCAAATCAGTGGTGAGCGACCGGTTTTTCTCTTAAATAATATCCTTAAGACTATCTCAAATACTTTGCACTAGAGCTAGATATTTTAAACCCTTAACTAAGGCTAAAAGCAAAATGGCTGCAGCTACTAAATGCATTCCTGAAGGCTTGACAAATGTGCATCAAACTGAATTTTTTTTTTTGAATCCGTCTCAACCAAATAATTTTGCTGTTCAGAAATGCTCCATAACTGCAATGGGGGGGGGGGGGAAACAACAACCCTGTCTGAGCCATGACCAATGCATTTTATTGGGTTGTGGTTTCTATCTTGTGCATTTTTCAACAAGTGTCTTAAAAATGTGGCCTAGAAATGCATTGCACTAAGCTCTCAGGGCCGTTGTTCAATAAGTCTAAATATTCATGTGAATGCCAAACCAGGATGATACTGCAGACATCTGCTAAATCTTTACTCTGTATTCTAAGTGCTTGGTTTTCAATCATGTCACACTGGTAAGCATAAACATTGCATGATATCATCCACTCAGTCTTTCCATGCATTAGTATATGTTGTCTCTCCTCCAAGCTATAAATAATTTTTAATAGAAACTCTACCTCCAACCACAATGTTCAGTTTTCTTGAGCAGTAAATGATTAAATGAATGTTTTAATAAATTCAGTGGTTAAAAGGAGAAACCTTTTCTGGGTCAGAAAACATTTTTTGATACAAGACTTCTTTTGTTGGCAGCTGTCTCCTCCCACCTTCTCATAGTGAGCAGGAATCAGGACAAACAAGAAACCTGACCTGCAAAGTAGCAGAGTCCCCTCCCCTTACCTCTGCCTTCCCATACCTGCTCTGAAAACAATGAAGCAAAACAAAACCAGTAGCTTCAACAGCAGAGTGAAAGCGCTGTGGAAAAAATGATCTCTGACTCAGAAGGTGGATTATTTTGTCTTCGACTTTGAGGCAAACTTGACTACCCGCCTTGGATTTTTATTTTATGACAAAATGAAGACTCAGCTTGTGGGTGTGTGTTTAGCAATTATCGGCTTTCTTGGCACCATCCTCATCTGTGGACTGCCTGCATGGAAGGTGACAGCCTTTATTGGTGCAAACATCATCACTGCTCAGGTCTTCTGGGAGGGTTTATGGATGAACTGTGTGATCCAGAGCACGGGTCACTCGCAGTGTAAAGCCTACGACTCCATACTGGCATTACCACAGGAACTGCAGGCTTCCCGGGCTCTGATCTGCGTCTCCATTGCTGTCAGTGTGGTGGCCATTGGGCTCACTGTGGTTGGGGCCCGCTGCACAAACTTCTATCGGGACGACAGGCCAGCCAAGGGTCAGATTGGTCTTGCTGGGGGTGTTGTGTTTATAGTGGCGGGGCTGCTGTGCATCATTCCTGTTAGCTGGTCGGCTCACAGCATCATCACTGGTTTCTTCAACCCCTTGGCCACCGAGGGGAGGAGGGGGGAGCTCGGGGCTTCCATATATGTGGGCTGGGCTTCTGGAGCTCTGCTCGTCATTGGAGGAGTGGTTTTGTGTAGCACCTATAGATGCTGAAGATGACGAGAAGAGAGGAGGATGCCAGGATGGACATAAAACACAGACTGCGGTCAAAACATAGAGTAATTGTTTAACTATGATGGGCTTTGTCTAAGATTTTGATCAAGACTTCTTTTTTTTATTGCACTACTGACATTTTATAAATACACAATTCTGAGTAAAAACAAGTTTACATTATTGTACACAACCATAATGTTTAAGGTTGTTTTTAAAATGAAGGATTTTAAAATGAAGTCTTTTTAAGATAATTATCAAGAGGAGCATCTTTGAACAGTTTTCAGTATCGCATGAATGATGAATGCTGCAGGAAGATTTTTTAATTAAGGCCTTGATGTCATTTTTTAAAGCATATTTTTTTACAAAATGTATTTTTAAATGTGACAAGGACATTTTCCCTTTATTCAACAGTTTGTCTTTTTAAGTAGAATCAGATGTATCTTTTAGTACATTATAACAGCATAAGGCAAAGTAATCAGCCTCATGAAATGTACCTTTATTTTTGTATCATGCAAGATTTATATTAACAGTTCAATTGTATAGAAAAAGTAATAAAATTATTTTTGAGTAAGTGATCTTCAGACTATGAATGGTTCTTTCTCTGCATATACAATCCCAATAAATTCACCTTGGTGTTTTTGAGTTTTTGTACTGAACTTCTGTTCCTGTCATTTTGTATTCTAAAACTGCTATTTCTGAAATGCATTGCAAGTAACACAACTTCCAGATACTCTATTTCAGTTTGTTTAAAAGCCTGAAAAACTAGACTTGTTTTTAGCTCAGAGGTGTTTGAGCACTCTGTATTTACAGAAAGCTGACAAGATATGTATCTCTAAGGGACGTTTGCATATCTCTGTTTATTTTTGTGTCATCTGACCACTTAACATAACAGGAAAACCACACAGGTAACAAAAGCAGCTTACTCTCTGTTTTAACAGAAACTAGACAAGAGAAATGTAACACCTACCCTCTCTTCCTGCCAAGAAATAGTTAAGATTATACTTTGTTTTCCGGAGTGTCAGTGGATATTTTAGTTCTCAACAGCTCTGGAATTACTAAAGCACTGCATGTTTTTCAAATGGGGGGCCAGGGCATGCAGATTGGGGGCCTGGCTCTGGCACTGATCGGTGTGTTTTAGCAGTGAGTTTGACGTGTGGACTACCGATGTGGCGTGAGACATCTTTTGTTGGAGCAAACATTGTGACAGCACAATCAGTAAGTCTATGCATGTCGCAGAGAAATTCATGTCATATACTGCATGCTAAATTCACATATCTTCACTGGTTTATTCATGAAACAGCAAAAACATTTTCCAGTTGCTATGGGCTGGCTGTGGCTCACTGGAAGGTCAAGGGTTCAATCCCCAGCTGGGCAACATGTCTGATGTGTCCTTGGGCAAGACACTTAACCCCAAATTGTGCCCTCTGCTTCAGTGGCGGTGTATGAATGGGATTAGTTACTTCTGATGGATGAAAAGCATAAAAGTGCTTTGAGTAGTCAGAAGACTAGAAAAGTGCTATATGAGCTTATTTACCATTATGGAACACAAAGGATTAATCCTGTACAGATAATTACAATTATTTTACCCTTAAACTGAACATAATGTAAGATGCTCCCTTACACAATGGAACACCACATCACACATAATGACTATCTCTCTCTCTGTTTCAGGTGTGGGATGGTCTGTGGTTTCATTGTATCCTTCAGGCCACAGGTCAGCTGCAGTGCAAGAGACACGCTACCCCCATGACACTGACCTCAGACCTTGTGGCTGGACGTGCCCTCACACTCATCTCCATCATTGCCGGGTTCCTGGGCTTCATCATCACCCTCCTTGGAGGAGGCGTGGCCAAATGTAGCAGCGCTAGCCGTGACCCCTTGGAGTCACCGTCCTACTACTCCTCCTCCTCCTCCTCCTCCTCCTCCAAATCCTACAGAAAGAAGGTTCTAAAGTTGTGGTCATGTTTTGTATTTCTTTCAAGATTTTTTTTTCCGGGGGGTTTTATGCCTTAATTTGACAGGACCCTGGATATAGAGTATAGGACATTTTGGGGAGAGAGTGGGGAATGATTTGCAGGAAAGGAGCCACAGGTGGGACTTGGAACTGGGCCGCCTGCTTGGAGGACCAGAGATCTCAAGGGCTTTGTTGGCTCCAAGGCTGCCGATTGAGCGAGAAGCAAATTTATTGTTAAAGTTCACATACAAAAATGACAAAGCAAGTTCACTTCAGTCATGCAACTACAATTTAAGTTACATAAAATGAAATTCACTGGGCTTTGCAGATATTTAAAACAAGACAGTATAATCACTTAGATTATCATCATTTAATACCACATACATCAGCACCAGATAAATGCTATTTCAAAGGAATCATTTGAAAATTTCTGTATGATTGTGATAGTAAAATTCTGGATAGCGCTGTCTAACAAAAGACAATTACAGCTAATTTCCCCAATAATTGTCTAAATCTTCTTTTTAGGGCAATGAACACACTTTTGAATATGGTTTAGTAAAAACTCATAGAAGTACTGACCATTGATAGGATGACTTTCTGTTTCCAGGCCTGTCTTCTTGGTGGAGCTCTGTGCATCCTGTCAGGAATCTTGTGCCTGATTTCAGTCATCTGGTCAACTGCAGCAACCATCTCAGTTTACAACGACCCCTTTGTGGTGGCGGCCATGAAGAGAGAGGTGGGCTCCTCAGTCTACATTGGCTTTGCCTCGTCTGTGCTTCTCCTGCTTAGTGGTGCGCTGCTCTGCTGCGTCTGCAGGGAAGAGGAGAGAACCCCACCCTCCTATTACTCCTACATGCCGTACAACACCGACTCTCAATACACTGACTATTCATCCCGTATGGCCATGCTGAGGCCTGATGTCATGACACCAAACAGATTGAGGATGAATGATCGTCCCTCAAGTGTGATGGAGCACGTAGCCCAAGTGCACAACAATAACTCCTTTACGAAAGCTCAGAGTGAGGCTGGGGTGTATAATGCCTGAAAAAGATCTAGGACACCAGAAAAGGGGAGGGGCTTATTCATGGGAAAGTAGCCAAATCTGGTAGCCTACTTGAAATTATTCTTCCTTCTGCTCCTTTTCATTCACGATTTGAGATTTTATGTTTGAATATATATTATTTGTCTGGCAATGAATGAAATAAATGTAAATTCATAAATTAAAAAAAACAATCCTGAGCAAGTCAAAACAGTACAGCCTACTGAGTGACCAGTCATCAAGAACTCAAGCTCTGCTGCCAATTGTTTGTCAGAACAACTCAATGTAAGCCCTGTGAAGATGTCAGTCTAAAAAATACTTTTTTGGCGAAATGTGTTTAAAATGTTGCAAATTATTTCTGTTGGAATGTGTGCAGTTAAATGTGGTCTTACGTTTGAACTCAATAAAGATCACAAACTTCAATTAAACCTGAGATGACTCACAGCATATGTAACATAATAAGAAGGAATATTTATATGTTAAAGGGTTGATTCCACAAGAATTATTTTAAATCTAAATAGGATATCACCTATTCTTAATCTGGATAAATTGTTTCGATGAAAAGATGGTTTTGTAGATTTAGAAAGGTTTTGTAATCTATGTATAAAAATAATGTCAAGATGATTATAATTTTACAACTGCTTCAAAAATAACAAAATGCTTTTGTTTCAGGTTTATGTTCAAGGTCACTTTTGCTAGATCAGTGGCCCATTTGTCAAATAATATCTTCTCTAACACACTGAGCACTGAACACATCACACATTTCGTCCTGTGTAAGTATTGCCGTCTCTGCTGACAAGAGGGAATTTCCCTGCTGATATTTTTTCATACGTCAAAGAGCTGTTGGTATCGATTCCCGTGATCCCTGTGGAAATGACTGGAAACCATTTCAAATTCATTGATCTTTGCCTATCAGAAGAGTACCTGTTCATTTAAAACCATGACTCTTGATTTCTTCTTTATTTGGATAGTTCAAGAAGAGATTTGATTAGGTGTTTAATAAGTTAAATGACTAATGTAGCTAAGTTCGTTTATTTGAAACAGATAAAAAAGAAACAGACACTAAAACTGAGGTTACCACAGAGCAGTGACATTGTTTCAGTGTTAATCACTTGGTATGTCCCTCTTTGCATAGTCAGTATCTTTCAGACAAATACCTCACTGCCTTCCTAAAGCTACGTTTAAAATGTCATTTAAAGAACACTAGTGCATGTGTCTTTATTCAAGACCTTGTGTTTTTCTATTTACTTATTCTGTAAATATTTTCCCTTTTACAGTAGGTGTTTTTTGTGCACGAAACTCCGCTGTCCTTTTCTAGTTGTAAAAACAAAGTGGTCAGGCGACATTTCATCACAAACCAGTTTCAGCTCAAAATAACTCCTCTGACATCAACTTTAAAAAAAACACCTGTACGTGAGGAAACTGCTGTCAGCCTGTCCTCTGAGTAGGCAATAAAACATTAAAAGTAGGCAGATCTTTGGTTTGGCCCTGGCCATCATCGGCTTTCTGGGAAGCATTATCGTCTGTGCTCTCGAAAGTCATAGCCTTCATCGGTGCCAATATCATCACCGCTCAGGAGATCTGGGAGGGTTTGTGGGTGTGACCCAGAGCACAGGCCAAATGCAGTGCAAGGTCTATCAATCAATCAATCAATCAATCAATCAATTTTTATTTGTATAGCGTCAACTCATAACAAGTGTTATCTCGAGACACTTTACAAAAAGCAGGTAAAATACCTTACTCTTTGTCTTTTAACATTACAAAAGAGCAGGTAAAAAGACCTTACTTATTGTTATGTTACAAAAAGCAGGTTAAAGACCTTACTTATTGTTATGTTACAAAAAGCAGGTTAAAGACCTTACTCATTTTTATGTTACAAAAAGCAGGTTAAAGACCTTACTTATTGTTATGTTACAAAAAGCAGGTTAAAGACCTTACTCTTTGTCTGTTAACATTACAAAAAGCAGATAAAAGACCTTACTTATTGCTATATTACAAAGACCCGGCCTATCCATCATGAGCACTTTAGCAAAGCAGCAAAAGTTACAGTGGTAAGAAAAAACTGCCTTATTAAAAGGCAGAAATCTTCGACCGGATCCCCGGCTCATGATGAAACAGCCTTCACAGGCCTAGACTGTGCCGGGCTTGGAAGGGGATAGGGGGAGAGATGGGATAAAATGCAGGAAGATGGGATAGGGAGCAAGGGAGTGGGGGGGGGATGGACGGAGGGGTCTATGACTCCCTCCTGGCCTTGCCGCCAGAGCTTGCTCGTCATCTTGGCCATCATCATTGGCATCTTCGGGGTCCTTCTCGGCACAGGAGGGAGCAAGTGCACTAATTTTGTGGAGGATGAAAGGCAGAAAGTGGCCATTGCTTCTGCAGTTGTCTTCATCATCGCAGGTCTGTTGGTGCTCCTTCTCGTCTGCTGGACCGCCAACACCATCATTCGTGATTTCTACAACCCGATCCTGACCAACGCTCAGAGGAGGGAGCTTGGGTCAGCACTCTACATCGGCTGGGGCTCGGCAGGGCTGCTGTTCCTGTCTGGGGGCCTCCTGTGCAGCTCTTGTCCCCCCAGAGATGAGAATGAGTATGATGTAAAGTACTCCAAGGCTCGCTCTGTGGAGAGCAGCAAGGCCTATGTTTAGGGTGCGTTCGAATAGTCCCTCCTATCTCCTTTCACTATCCACTTTACCTTAACCCCGGGGAAAACGTCATGACATTAAGGAAAGAGAGTTCATAAAGGACTTAGGGAAAGCTCTGACAATCCGACCACATTTCAACTAGGTGACGTCATTAAATGCGACGGGCCGGTGGAGGTTAATGACGCGAGTCTGCCGTGTTGAAACTACAATGTTCAGAAAATGGACTACTAAAAGCGCATCTAAAAAACTTTCCCCTGTGCCTTCTTGCCGGTGAAATAATCCTAATAACCACAAGGTTGGGATTGAAATAAAAGCAATATAGGCTACCAGGCTACGAGTAACAAAAGTGAAACCATCAGCTTCCTGTCCACTCAGAAATCAACATCAAAATAAGTATGATTGTATCAAATTAATTGTTACATTTATGCAAGATATAGCCTACACATAATGTTTTAAGCATACAAATGTACAACTGCACAAATCATTCCTAAGTGAATGAAATATGTTGAATAAAACATCATCTGGCTAAAAATGTCTCTTATCTTTTATCCCTTACATGATCTGTATCACTTTACGATCATCGTTAATGTTCGTGAACGGTCGGATGCGCGACTCGCTTTAAAATGTTGCGGCCGCAAAGAATGAATTTCACCCTTTAGATATATATGTTAATCAATAAGTTAAGCATGTGTTTTACTCTCCAAAAACATACTCAAGAGTGATGTATTCTGTTATTGTGTGCATTTTCTTTGACTGATTTGTTTGTATGGCATAAAATCACCTGGACTGTTCTTAATGAAATAATGATATTCAGAACATATGTGAAAACATCAGCTATGTATGAAACACGTTTACATAAAATCCACTTGTATTAGTTACTTTTCTGAGCCACACAGTTTGCCTTCTTTTATATCTTTTATATATTGTATTGATGATTTGTATGTTGATTATGTTAATGATTCATATCAACTGTTTGAATGTACTTCATACTATGATTGGGCATGTGAGGGTACATTTCTCCGAAGCTTTTTTCCATCTCCTTTTGGCAGGTTTTATATGTTCAAACGGAAGACACCGTTTGAGAATTTGAAGACGGTGACATACAAACAGGATAGGTGACAATGTGTGTTCTCCCTGCCAAAAAGTGGGCTAAATAAACAAAAAGCTGAATCATAAAAAATGTGTTTGTGTTCATGTTTTAAGTTTGAAAGTAAGGCCAACCCCTTTTCATTTCTTATAACACTGCTGACGAATTTAAAAAAACAACATATGAATAATTAACACAAATAAACAACACTACACAGTAATGCCATTACTTTTATAGATAAAAAGACTTGTTTCCTTTAAACTTGAAGAGATGATAGTGTGCAAATACAAATTCAGTTTAGTCATCACCAGAGGTGTAGTGGTGCCTGAAGAAGTGGGTATACTCTTAATTTCCCGCCTTAATGTGTTGGGAGTGTCCCGTCCAGCAGAGGATAAACGTCCACTGTTATAAACAGTGACATGTAAGACTACTCACAGTGTGGAGCAAAATGAATTGAAGCAAAAGTATCTCCTTTACACCTTACAAGATTGAAGATTATTCTGAGACTTATTAAAAGGTTAGTTTGTTTGTGTGTGTGTGTGTGTGTGTGTGTGTGTGTGTGTGTGTGTGTGTGTGTGTGTGCGCACACGCGCTTGAGTGCTTGGATGTGTGTGCGCTTGCATCTGTGTGTGTTTGTGTGTGTATGTGAGTGCTCGCATGTGTGTATGTTTTAAACGGGTTTTTCTGTGCAGAAGAAGAATGAAACTGGTTTTGGGAGATTGTGTTTCACATACTCCTTTGTTACAAGAATGCACTCTGCATGCTCTCCCCTCCACTGACCTGCACATATGCAGTGCCAGAGAGTGTTTGAACATAGCCTGTGCACACACACAAATTAATGGTGTTAAATCTCATTTGCCTTTCTTTTCTTTTCTTTTCTCAAAAAGACAATATATAAACAACTTTTCGGCACCTCGTGATAATTCATCTTATGAACAAATCTAATGCCAATAGAGGCCTATCATGCTTCCTGCTTTATCCAAAGCTTATTGTTTTAAAGTCATCTCTTGTGATAAAGACAATGAGGGAGGGATTAGGTGATGTCACCGTTTCACAGCAACCTCTCTCTCTCTCCCTCTCTGTTTTTATTTTCTGTCAACCACCTCCCCTTTCTTTTTCCCAATAGAGAAGGTGTGGTTCATCTACAATTTGACCAGAAGCACTCAGCAGCTGCTCAGTGCTCTTTCCTCTCGAAAGAGCACTCTCAGGTAAAGAAAGAAAGAGAGAAGACACAGGTGAGAGAGGTGGAAGGGGAGGAGAGGACAGCAGCTAGGAATACGAAGGAGGAGGGGGAGCAGATGGAAAGTAGGCTGTAAACAAATGAACAGATGATGAAGTGAGGCACGCCTTGTGTTAAGTTAAAGCTGTTAGACAACTGAAAAATTCAGACAGGACTCACTGGAACTTACTGGAATAGCTACTCCAGAACATTGCAACTTTGGCAAGTTTGAAGAAACATGCAAAGATGGAGACGTGTGAAAACAGCACTGAAAGACTGACAAACGAGTTACTCTGAAAGAGAAAGGACTAGAGGTGAAAGCTAAAGACGTTCCACAGAAGAGACTCCAAAACTTTGTGAGTATACATTGATCAGAGTCACAGATCCTTTTTCCTTCCCTCCGCCATGGCCTCGATGGGGATCCAGATGCTGGCCAGTGCCCTGTGCCTCCTGGGTTGGGCCGGGGTCATCGTCAGCTGCGCCATGCCCATGTGGCGGGTCACAGCCTTTGTGGGCAGCACCATTGTCACCTCCCAGACCATCTGGGAGGGGATCTGGATGACCTGTGTAGTCCAGAGCACAGGGAACATACAGTGTAAACCTTATGACTCTCTCCTTGCCCTCAGCGCAGACTTGCAGGCCGCCAGGGCTCTCACCATCCTGGCCATCACTGTTGGAGGCATAGGCCTCATTCTGGCCTTTGTCGGAGGGAAATGCACTCGCTTTTTGGATGAAGAAGGAGACAGGGTTAAGGGCAAGGTGGCCTTGGCAGCGGGGGCAGTGTTGATTGCCACAGGGCTGCTGTGTTTGATTCCCACCTCCTGGGTAGCTGGGGCAGTTGTGAGGAAGTTCTACACCGCCTCCATAGATGCCCAGCGGAGGGAAATTGGAGCCAGTCTCTACATTGGCTGGGGAGCATCCATCCTGCTTATCCTGGGAGGGGGTTTGTTCATAAGCTCAAATTGGCCTTTAAAAGCCCACAATGAAGACAAAAGCCCCTCCGTCCGCTACCTGGTGGTCCGCTCCTCCAACGGGTCGATCCCCACAGGTTCTCATCGCAGCAGAGTGCCGTCAGCAGAGTCTCGGCCTGTTGGAGCCTTGTTTCCGAGGTCTCAAAGCAATGAGGGAGCATCCACAAAATCTCAGATGTACACAAGGCCTCCCTGGGAAGATGGGCCTGATCAGGACTCAAGGCAGCAGTCAGAAAGATCGTGGGCAGCGTCAACAAAGTCCCAGATGAAGAGACTCGAGTCGACTACATCTGAAAACAGTGAGGCTCCTTCTACAAAGTCTCAGCTGAAACGAGCAGAAATGGACAATAATTTATCAGTCAAGAGTGACAATGAGGCTATATCCCCGGATCCAGCGAAAACATACCTGTAATACTTACACTCACAATGCACTTACAATTATACATACAACATGAAGGTTTGACACATTAACAGTTGTTTAGAAGTTTGTTTATTTTGTGTGTTGAGTGATAAGTGAGTAGTTCATGAAGTTGATTCAGCATTTATAGTAAGTGCAGTTATCTTTATACTCAAACATGTTGTTTTGATCAATGGACTGAAGGGAAGAGGTATAGACTACAGTCATCAACATGCAGAAGAATAACAGCTTTAATATGTTATGTTTTTCACTGAGGGTGAACTAAAAGCGAAATACAGCAAGAAACTCAGTCAAAGTGTAATGAAATATGCCTTTGTTGTCTGTTTTTTTTTTTTTTTCAAAAACATCCTTATGTGAGACTGGGATCAGTTTATTTTGCCCAGTGTTTATATGCACTGAATGAGGATGAATCCATCCACATGACCTCAGACTTAACTTGTTTGCTACTGCTGGACAAATAGCAACTTTAACCCGTGTGCTCCTTTGATATACTCTGCAGCCTTGAAACATCTCTTTGTGTGATAAAATGTTACATTTTTGTCTTGTGCAGCTGCATTAGCAACAAATATTTCTGTAAATGTATTGATTTTGGCTTTTCTCACAACTATAAAATGTGATTTATGTTTTTTTTTATTTAGGCTTATGTAATTAAAAGATATTTGAACTTTAACTAACAAACTGCACTGTTTGATTGAACAACATATTGCCTGTTTCTCCTTATAAATGCATCAAACACGATAACATGTGACACACGAGCTGAAAATATCCTGTCCTTTAATGTTTACAGCATCCCTGAGCTCTCAGTCATCTTCGTGGCTATTAACTTTCCACAGGACAAACTGGTTTGACAGAGAGTGAGGTTAAATAGGAAGCGTGTAGTGTTAGCGGAGGAGGGTATGATGTGTTTGTGAAGGATTCAAATTCAGTTTCAGTGAATCATGTTTACAGAACATTTGTCCCAGTTTGACATAGTGTGTGGATGGATCATTATCTAGTCAAATTAGAATTCTTCTGGTTGTTTTTGAAGACAAATTCAATAGAACAAAGAAACCAATATATGTTTTCTTTAGTGCAACACCTTGTGTTATGGAAAGAAACTGACTGAAACTGCAACAGCTGGCAAGAATTTACAGAAGTGATAACATGTTACAAAAATTAACAAAATTTAAGCTAAACTTAGGTTTTAGGGGACGATTGCACCTCTGCTTGTTTTGCTCCAATTCAACATGTAAGTCTTGTAAAATGTGCTATAGTAACTTTTATTATTATTGAAGGGATTCTACTTTAAACTCCTAACATTAACCTTTACCAAATAAATGATAAATAACACAAGTATTGAAGGAAGGACATATAAATACATGTGAACATTATTTGTGGGACAGTCTCAATGACCTACTTGAAGGCCCCTTCAGTGTAGATTTGTTAGCGCTGATGTTATTTTTTGTAATCCATGAAACAGTGCCATCTAGTGATCAAAGGTACATTTTTCAATATTATAACGATGATGAATTGTTAGCTGATATCGAAAACTGTTTTTTATCTGCAACATGAGTATAAAATATTTAACTGTACTTTTACATGGGATCAAGAACTCAGTTTTCCTGCCCCTTCTACCCTGCCTTATCTCGTCTATATTATTGTATTGCCTTTAAGAGTCAGAAATCAGGGAGAGAGAGTGTTGGGAATGACATGGAGGAAAGGAGCACAACAGCACCCCTTGGGATGAGTTTTTAACATAATGTTTAATATTCAGAAGATGTATAATATTCAACTAAATGTATAATATTCTATTATAATCGTTCACATTTTAACATGTTTTTATTTTTTTTATTTTAGAGTAAGTAAACAAGTGTGTCATTTTTATGAATTTGTTGTACTTTGTCTTATTTCCACTTGTATTAGCGCTGCAGGTGGATGGAGGCAAATTAAATTCACTGTGATTGTACTTGTTGCAAATTTATGTGACAATAAAGAACCTTCATTCTTGAACTTTGATGAAATACATATTCTTCCTTAATAAATTTAATATATATATATTTCAGAGATTTAAATCTGGCTAATTTAGATATAAATGATAAAGGCTGTTTTTTTTGTGAAGCTTGACTTTTTAAATCAAGCTTAATTTTCTTACAGTTGCAAAGCTTCAAAATACTTACATAAAGGATGTATTTGTTATGCAAAAAGAGAGCGAGAGAGAGAGAGACAAAGTTAGTCCGCTATGCTTTTCAGGTCCTTTCTTACATTATTTTGTGAAAATTGGTAATGTACCTTTTTTGGCCATTTTACCCATGCAGGTCAAACTGCAAGTATAGAATACAACACTGTAACTTCGAGATCATTATGCTTTAAAAATCAAGGGATAATTTTAACTTCCATCATAGTTTTTTTTCCAATTGTATAAATAAATATGAATTAGAAAAACTCATGTTTGCTTTCTGCACAGTCGTAAGACCTTAAAAGCAGAATATAAGTGCAGTATGTTTACAATCAGAAACATGAACACGTGTTAGTTACAGACTCACATTCTAAAAAGGACACTTTACACCAGAAGTGTGAAGTGAATTATTTCAGTCTACATTGCATCTCTTTAACTGTTTATTGTTCACATTGTCTGCTGTTAAACAATTTGTGACATAGCAGCTGAGTGTTATATTGTATTACAGTTTTCTGTGAGGTACACAGATCCAGATATGTAGATGTCCCCTGCAGCTTTCACTGATTTCGACCAGTGTTCCTTCTCAGTGACAGCTACACAACTCCACAGTCCCTCCACCTCCATCTCCTTCAGCTCACGCTCCAAGGATGCTTTGTATTCCACATTGTCTTCACCATGTCTGCACGTCATACAAACCAAGCCACCTGGAGGGAACAAGTAACAATGTAGCAGTGTGAGATAGAAATAACAATACAGCTATAATTTACCCAGTATGACACATGCTATATATTATTAATCATGCTTTTTTTCATTGAGTATGGATTGAAATCTCCATGTTTTTTTTTTTTTCTTTTACCTGGTTTGCAGGCGTGGCACAGCTCTCTGATCACACTTACAGCAACATGATCCACAGTCAGGGCTCCACAAATTACAACCACATCGTATGATCCTGCAGGAGGAAGTGAAGTGACTGAGATCAAAATAATTCACAATGCTAGCACATCTAAAAAGTACAGTGTAGGATTAAGAGTATCTGGCTATGAGGTTGCAGTTCTCAACTTTTATTTGTCAAATAAAAAAAATAAAAAAAAGTAATATCACTATATTTCATTCCTGCTTACATCTTGCACTGGAGTCCTTTAAAGGAAGATTATTTGCTCCGAAAATGTGATTGGCAGTAAATCAAACATAATAGTTTTACATTGGTGATAAGGAAAAAAAGTATTCTAAATGTAAAGTACCACTTTGCACTGGAAGTGGCTCTTGTACCAAAATGCATTGCTTCAAGTCTTGGTACAGTCCCTTCTTTTTGGCCTCCTCCAACATAAGCTTGCTTCCATCAATGCCCACAAAATGTCCAAAACCAAGTTCTTTCATCTGTGAACACACACAAACACTTGTTAGATACATGTCATCACTGCCAGAGTGCACCATCCATAATGATTTCTGTTTGTTCTGCTCTTGTCATCTGACCTACTTTGCCACCAGTCCTGTACCGCAGGCCACATCCAACACAACAGCACCTTCAGGGTCACCGCTGAAATGGGAGGAGATGGTCTTTGCTACAATAGCTGGTGCATGGTAGTCCAGAGTAACTAAATCCTTTTTGAGACAGAATATCAGAGCAGTGGTTCTTTACAATTTTAACCAAACATCATCACAGAAATTAATTTCAATCATTAATCATACATCTGTTCAGTTAAAGGCCTCCAATGAGACCAAACTATTTTGCTATTATTCAAATAGATGTATGACAGATTCTTGGTGCCTAGTGGTAATTTAGACTTTTTATTTGTTTTGACTCCCATGTTATTTTTCTTATTTGGACTGACTCTAGAATGAAAAGCAGCTAGCTCCAATGTGCAGATTTCAGTTGCCAACATCTTGCACATTCCTGTGCAGATGTGCAACTCTTTCTTCACACAAAATGCTTATATAATAAAATGAAAAAAGGAAAACTGACACCAAAAGGAGGATATGTCTACTTTTATAAAAAATAGTTGTTTGTGACACTTTTGATTTTGAGACTTTAAAGTAACAAACTTTTTATTTGATGGTGAATCCGAAAACAAATCAAATCAAGAGTGATACACTTTCTTATTCTGATTTCATTAAAGTTAAGATAAATATTGAATTCTTAATCTGCATGTTAAACATTTTTTTAAATCCCAGATTAGTCACAAAAATAAAATCTTTATAAAAAAAAAAATATCATCAAAATGACTAAAATAACAAAGCGTCTCAATGCAATTTGAGAAGAATTAAACTTTTATTATCTCAAAAAATATACAGTAAAACGATCTGAAAATGCACAGGACTATTACAATTTTTATGTATTTTTTATTTTATATTTCTTATTCAATCTTTTTGGGCGCTCCAAGCACCTGTACCGTAAATTCTTGTATAGACGCGCATCATTTTTTTTCAACGGCGACTGGTATGAAGGTAGATATGTTGCAAAATAGGAGAGCTTGTAGTGTGACGTCAGATGCATTATCTTCACGGACACGTAGCCTAATGCATGTAGTATTTAATCATTAAGAGACATGGAATGTAGGGCTACCCAATGTTTACCTATTTATTTATTAGCACACATATAAGAACACATCAAAATATGATCAACAAAAACATAAAAGGTGTGTCAGGAGAGGTCAAGAAGCCAAGAGGCTTATACAAGGGACCTCACCTCTTAAGAGACAAATAAATCAACTAAACAAATCGAATGTCATTTGAGTATTGATACAGTATGAAAAGAATATTAAAAGAACAGAGTGTAAAATTATCTTTAGTATCAATCATGCCGTGGTATTAATGATCGCAATTTAAGGGCAATAATAAATACCAACCTGATCGTAGTTCTCTGCCCAGGTGTCATACATAGCCAGTTTTCCACAAGCCACAGTTTTTGCACGAACCGATGCAACGACTTCCCTCACAGTTTCAAATGTTCTTTGAGTGGACATTTTTTTTTTTATCCAACTATGAGGTAAAACAAAATAAACAATTAGGTTACAGGATTCTCAACTGATTCTCCAGGGGGAAGACAATCTTCATAGACAAACAGCTTTTTGGGCATGCCTAAAAGCGAAAAATTGGGGAGGGGTCAAAACTTTTACAGTGTATGATCCAAACAGAAATGAAGCCTTTTACCGTGGGTTTGGTGTAGCAGATGAAGAATCCTCTTTTCTTTGTAACAACTCTTACAATCGAATCCACGGTAGAACCTGATGATATTACTTTAAACACCGGGGCTCAGGTGGCTGAGGGGTACATTTTGTCCTGTTCACCTCTGTGTGCAGATGACAACAATTAAAGAGACGCAGCAACAGCCACTTAGGGCTTGTTTAATCTTGAGAAAACTATAGTTAACAACCTGCATAACAGGTTGTGTGAGAATTGCTGCATAATGTCAGATTCCACTTGTAAAAATAATCTGATTGTAAGGACATTCCTTTGTTTGATTTTACTTTTACTTTATTGCTATTGTTGGCCCTACCCCTTGATCCTAATCTTTATCAGACTTGAACAGCGTGTTCCTTCTTCACTTTATAAACACAATATATTACCTGAATCCACCACTAACTTGAACACGTTTGTGCTTTAATATAAAACAAAAACAAACAATTGGATATCCTTCCTGCACCGTAACACCACCCCAGTTGCGAAAGCCAAAAGATATCTCAAAAGAGGGAGGTACTTTAAGAAGAAGATATCCTTTATTAATCCCATGAGGTGAAATGACTTTTACACTTTGTTATTGAGACATGCTACACACACATAGGCTACAATACACACACATGTACAAACAGGATCTAATGGACATGCACTAATGGAGTGAGGGGGCTGCACATGAAAGAGCGCCCAAGTAGTTGGGGGTGTATTGCCTTGCTCAAGGGGCACCTCTGCAGTGCTCAGGAAGTGAACTGGCACCTCTCCAGCTACCAGACACATTCCAGACTCAGTCCACAATGTACTTGAACTAGTTCTTCTCAACCCAAGTCCCTAAAGACTGAGCTACTGCCGCCCAATTTAAAGGTACGGATGCCTTTTTTTCCCCATTCCTTTCTCAAGAGTTAAATGAGCTTAGCATGAAGACAAATATGTTTGTACATTTGTTTGTACACCAAGTCTAATTCCTTGTATGCGTAAATGTACTTGGCAATAAAACACAATTCTGATTCAGAGACTGAAATTGAAAACATTACCTCCAAATGAGCTAAAACTACAAATCAAACTGTCAGCAACAAGTTTGATTATGTCCTCACAGTTATTTTTAAGCTTTTTGTTATTGCGACTGCTGTGTAGGTCTCATACAGGGCAAATATTAACCTGCTGCAGAAACAGCCACAGTGGTTACCAAAATCAACACAAACGTTCTTCGCCAGAGCTTTGACAAACAACAAGAAAAAAGTTGACTTTTTCCATCAAAACATGAAAAAGCCCATTTGTTTCATCATTGCAGATATGAATTTACAACAGACAAACAGCAAACACACAAAGGTTGCACCTTCATTTATTACTCGTTTCTCTGGATTGTGTTGTTATTCTTGTATTAGGAAAGTTACTGTGCATCTGTATCAAATTGAAGTGGTTGTCAAGAAGGGAAAATGGTTGTTGCTAAATGGTTTAGCATGTAGAATGTATATTATTTAACATGGAACTGAAACATTTATTCAACATCAGAAATCCAGACTCTTTTTAAAGTGTATTATGCAGTAACTGGAATATGACATTGTCCTAAATATTCCTATAGTTTCTTATAGAGATACACAACGCCAGGTATATAACCATCCTCCTTGTCTGACACCCCTCTCTCCCATTTTTCCACCTCAGTGACCTCAACAGAAGACCAGAGCCCCTGTTCTTCCATTTGCTCTAGCTCACACTCCAGAGCTGCTTTGTAGACCAGATTGTCATGGTTACTTCTGGTGGTCATGCAAATGTAGCCACCTAGTGGAAACAGGATAAGTGCAGTGATGCTATCAATCATACATACAGTTTTGAGATACTGGTTGTCATTACTGCAGTAGAAATGGCGTGGAATTAACAAAAAACCAAAATATTCTTACCTTGTTTGGTGGACCTGCACAGCTCTCTGACTACACTAACAGGGACCTGACCATCACTGAGTGCTCCAGTGATCAAAACTATGTCAAACAAACCAGCTGAAGATATAAAAGTGAAGAAGATAAGAGAAAGTTAATTTCAAAAATAGATCATCGTAGTTACAAAACTGCTGCTTATAATAAAGGTCATTCATAATATTTTATAATATTTACAGATTTTTTTTCTCTCAATTTAATCAGATAAATATACGGCAATATACGACAAAAGTGAAACAATGAAGCATCAATACCCCACTGGACAGGTAGAGGCTCCTCTCCAAGCATACACTGCTTCAGGTCCTGGTAGAGCTCACTCTGTTCAGCCACCTTCATCATACTCTTGCTTCCATCAACTCCCACAAAATGTCCAAATCCCAGTTTCTTCATCTGTACCAAAAAAAAACACATTTAGTCCAATCTGTTCAACTTAAATCCAAAAATTGAAGATAAAGGGGTTTGTGCAGTTCTAATTCACACGAACAAGAAAGTAAAGGTGTCTTTAAAAAGATTCTGATCCAACGCACTATTTACCAAAGATTACATTCACTGGAAAACATATTTTTAACTCAACTTAATATTTTACAAGACATATTTTAGCTTTTTTTTTTACTCCAAGACAAGAAAGTTACTCTTTCATATCTGTTGGAAAGTAGTTGCAACTTTAAAATGCAGTTTCCTTAAGACAGAGGCTGAGTGCTGAAGTTTGTTCCTCTCTGGTGAGTTCACCTGTTTGGCCATCAGTCCTGAACCACAGGCCACATCCAACACGAGAGCTGCTTCACGGTCACCGCTGTAATGAGAGGAGATCATGTTTGCTGCCAGACCTGGTGCACGGTAGTCAAGAACAACCAGATCCTATTAAAAAGTGTAAGAAAAACAGTGGCTTATATCATGGATGAAGAAGTCCCATTGAACTATTTTTTTTTAAGACATGTAAAAACGAAAACAGAAACTTTACATTTTATAAGATAGCCTACACACACTGTGATTGGACTGCATTTTATTTCCAAACAATACACATTCAAGTACAGGTAAGACACTTTTACTCTACTTTAACTGGAAAAATACATTTACATTACTTCAGTTATCTCACCTGTTCATAGTTCTCTGCCCAGGAGTCGTAAAAGCTGATCTTATCTTCTATGGTGGAGCTCTTGTGAGCGGACAAGATTGTCGCCCTGACATTTTCTAATGTCCTACCAGCCGACATTATAGACAAATCTGTCTAGACAGATAGACAAGTAATAATGATTAGACGTTTGCTTATAATTAAAGACTTGAAGAAGTGTAAACAGCTTAATGTGTACTGTATCCTATCCCAGTGAGTACACCATTCGTCATGTAAAAGCTGAGCCTTTACTCTGTTGTTTTAGTGTGTTCCTACAGTCACAGTGATTGCTTTTGGTGATTTCACATACACATGAAAAATGTGAAGCCAAATAAAACAGAATATCAGATCACTTTATAGTCCACTAATGCAATGTCAGGCACAATCAATAATAATAATAAGAAGACCTCCCTATGTAAGCAGTAGGGAAGGAGTGTGCAATGTCAGGCACAATCAATAATAATAATAAGCAAGGTTTATAAAGTATAGGCTACGTCCTGCTGCTACATGTAGCACACTTAAGATAACACATGAGTTTTACATACGGAACAGACACAGTTACCTGTAACTCTTTTTTTTTTTCAGATGGCTGGAACACAAATACACCGGTACAACTTTTGAATCATGCTGTAAACCACAGACTGTATAGTGTAATCTGCAGTCAACACAAGGGTCATAATAAAAAAACAGGAAGCTTGGACTTTCAGGCAGAGTAACCTCAGTATCACTGCACCGTCTGCTTAAGCCGGACACATTTTGTTACCTCACCGATCAAATACTTTGTAATCCGCTCAAAACGTCGAGCCGATGCTGCTCCATACAAGATTTCTATATAGTGTGTTTACTAAAACGTCCAAAAACCGTAGATTGTAAATATTACCCACAGACGCAGTATTCCCAACAGTCCCTGAAGGCGACATTTGTGCTTAAAGACGCGCGCATGTGCAGTGCCGTTTTCCCAGGCTGCTATTCATGCTTCCACCTGTAGAGTATTCAGGAGTCAAAACAAAAATCTTCTGGAAAGTCCTCCTGATATTAAACAGCAGAGCTAACTAGCTAAGTCACTTAGCTTTCGATAACGTCTGTAAAGTTGTTTCCAAGTGATCTTTTAAAGCAATATTGAGAGGTTCACCGTCTTCCGTGTGATATATTTCATCATGGTTAACTTTAAAAAGTTCCGCTCTTTCTGCAGCTTGTTTTGGTCCGTTTTCGTGGCATAGTTGGAAAGCTAACGCTGTTAGCCAAGCATTTTGGTCTTCCTAACAAAAAAGCCTAGCCTCCTGTGAGCCTTGTGGGACGGCAGAAGATCGTAACTGTGATCGCTGGTAATGAGATTAATCTGAATTTCAGATGTATGTTGTATTTAACAGTGGATAAAGTGGTATCTCACTGCATAATCACTACTGTAAACTCCCAGATCAAGTATCATTCTAATAACGCATTTATATTTTTACTTTTTTTTTTGTAGCTACACCATTGAATACTGAATTTGTCTTTTTCCCCCTCCCCGCAGGATTTTTTTTGACAGCAAAACACTGAAAATGTCTATTTTAGGGCTTACTGAATTTGTCTTTTCCCCCTCCCCGCAGGATTTTTTTTGACAGCAAAACACTGAAAATGTCTATTTTAGGGCTTAAAAAGAAACAGCCAAAGACTTTTAAAGTCAAAGTTGTCACCATGGATGCTGAGATGGAGTTCAGCTGTGAGGTACTACATTTAAGTCACAACACAATGCTTCATCCTTCACTACATGGAAAAAAGTGTCTTATTTCCAAGTCCTGGTTAATATTGTATGTTGTGGTTTTTTTTTTAAATTGTTTATTGGCTCACATGAATGTAGCTGACTCAGATTCCTGGATAGTGACCTGAATTAGCCTTGCACATTAGATAATAGAAGTTTTAGTGATGGTGTTATTTTTAGATGCAGCATGTACTGGTAGTGGTTTTACAGTTCTGGCATCTGTGCACTGCAGTTTTAGAGAAAGGAGAAAAAAAAAAGTTATGCATGTTTCTTTACATAGAGCTATTAACGGTGTCATACAACTTCCTTAGAAAAGCCTTAGTTGAGCTTTTCCCAAGGAAATATTTTAAGTTGGCTCTCTTTGCTCTCTGATTTTGGAGTCAATTTATGTAGCTGAAGTATGTGATTCAAATATGTCCGTGTTGATTTCAATATTTTGTGTCAACAAATTGATGACAAAGTTGTTGTTTTTTGACGTCTTCACTTGGCTGATTTTCTCAGGTGAAGTGGAAAGGCAAAGACCTTTTTGACTTGGTGTGTCGCACTGTTGGTCTGAGGGAGACCTGGTTCTTTGGACTCAGGTACATAGTGAAGGACACCTGCGCTTGGCTGAAACCAGAGAAACGGGTGAGTCAAGATGGGAGTTACTTGGTTTGTCCTACTGGCTTAGGACTGGGAAAAAAAAAAAACACATAACAGGAATTCTAATTCAGATACTATAAGGTTAAAATCTTCTGCACAATTCAGATAGTTATTTGTTTGCAGCATTTGAAATGTAAGTTCAGGGTGACATCCTGATATTGCTTGTTTTTAACTGAGGCGGCTGTGGCTCAGTTGGTAGAGTCGTCGACCCTCAACCGGAAGATGGAGGGTTCGATCACCAGCTGGGCAACATGTCCGATGTGTCCTTGGGCAAGACACTTAACCCCGAATTGCTCCCGCTGCTTCGGTGGCGGTGTATGAATGGGATTAGTTACTTCTGATGATACTACATAGCGATCATCACTACCATCAGTGTGTGAAAGGGTGTGATTGGGTGGGTGTGACATTCATAAAAAGCGCTTTGAGTAGTTGGAAGACTAGAAAAGCGCTATATAAGCTCAAGTCCATTTACCATTTAACTGTCCAAATATGTTTTATGACAGTAAAGTAAATACAGTACATACTCATATCTGAAAGGCCTGATGTTTTCACGTATTTACTCTGAATCAAATATAAATAATAAGTCAAGTTTTGTAACTAATAACACAGACACTGATCTTGACATTATATTTCAGTGTTAGTGCACGTCGGTCAAACAAAAACATTAACATCGTGCTGTCTTGTTGTTTTATTTTTCATCAAGGTCTTGGATCAGGAGGTTCCCAAGGACTCTCCCATAACATTTCATTTCCTGGCGAAATTTTTTTCATCCTTTTTTTCCCCCCTCATTTCCTACTGGCTCCTCTTGGATCTCACTCTCAGTATGGGGACTACGACCCAAATTTTCACAAGCCCGGTTTCTTGGCCCAAGATGAGCTTTTGCCAAAAAGGGTGAGTCAACATTCCGATTTCCTCTGCACGTTTCATTTAATACAAAAGCTTGATATAATTATTTGCTTGTTCTTCTTTAGTTAACTGCCTGTCTGGTTTACCTTGCTTTTTACCACTGGCTGACTTTTGTTTGATATTGTTTGTACATAACATAGTATTTAACAGGGATGGGATTCTACTGTATTCTTCAAGTGTATGACAATTTTTTTGAAGATTGAACCACAAGACTTTAAGTATCCACTGCAGTATATCAAACAAATAAGTTATAACAAGCCGCTAAGTTATTTTCAACAGAATTTCATCGCCCTCGGAGAGTTCCCACACTGTATTCTTTTTTTTTCAAATAAGAGAATGTCAATATGAACTGAGATCGAAATGTAAGTTCACAAAAACAAAGACGAGAACACATGTAGAACAAACATGTTTTTTTATTATTTAAAACAAATCAGCTTTATTTGAATAGGACCACAGGAAACGAGTGAAATAATTATTTCCTGTGATCCTATGGTTTTTTTCCTCTAGGTATTAATGCAATACCAAATGACAGCTGACATGTGGGAGGAGAAGATTACAGCTTGGTATGCAGAGCACAGAGGCATTGCCAGGTAAGACTAACCTATGGGAACCTTCTGAAATCCAACATGTAAAGAAAGATTAACACCTGCACAGAAGGTGTAATCCTAGATTCAATAGTTCTGGAGCAATTCTTGTATCCTAGTTTGATACATCTTCTCTTCCTGATTTTCCACCATCTACACAGGGATGAGGCTGAGATGGAATATCTCAAAATCGCTCAGGACCTTGAGATGTACGGGGTCAGCTACTTTGCCATCACTGTGAGTGTGAATGACTTACTCATCGCCCTGTCAAATCTAGGTCAGTTATGTCATGCAACCTCACACATTGCTGTCATGCTGGTTTACATTTTTTGTTTTACACCTCACATTAACAGCAAAATAAGAGGGACACAGACCTGTTGCTTGGAGTAGATGCCCAGGGCCTTCACATCTACAGTCCCAACAGTAAACTCAACCCTAACAAGTCCTTCCCTTGGAGCGGCATCCGCAACATCTCTTACAGCGAGAAAGAGGTAAAAACTAGCATTTAGGCACAATATTCTGAATTTCCTGTTTTGTTTTCAATTGATTTGTAAAAAAAAAATGTAATTGTCTTCCTGTTCTCATCACTGTCCTGCTGATGGAGTTGAGGCTTTTTTTTAGCGGTTATGTCAACACATTTAGTCGTACTGTTGTTAAGGCATCATGGTTGTTTTGTTGTGAAAAAATGTACATAATAAAATAAGCTTTGTAACTTTCTTGTGTCTCAGTTCACAATCAAACCCCTCGACAAGAAGAAAGATGTTTTCAAGTTCTACTCTTCTCAACTGCGTGTCAACAAACTGGTCAGTTTACCTCTTTGTCCGAGTTAATGTTCAACTATGGCACAGTTAAAGGAAAGTCACGGGAAATAAGACGTTGCTGGTTTGCCTGTATCTTCAGATCCTGCAGTTGTGCATCGGTAATCATGATCTGTTCATGAGGAGGAGGAAGGTTGACTCAATCGAAGTGCAGCAGATGAAGGCTCAAGCCAAAGAGGAGAAGGCTCGGAAGAAGGTGAGCCCTCTCTTAGCTGCACCTGAGTAAAGAAACAAGGCAGGATGGACAGTCTGCTTAAAAAAACGGCTATCACAATTATTTGAACGGTGTTGATTTTCTTCATTTAGATGGAACGGCAGATCCTGGCACGGGAAAAACAGATGAGGGAGGAAGCAGAACGAGCAAAAGAAGAGATGGAACGACGACTCTTCCTGCTGCAAGATGAGGCACGACTGGCCAATGAAGCACTGGTGAGAGCTCCAGACAAACTGCATTACAAGCTCCTGTACGGGGGACAAACTTAAGACTCCACTTGTTAATGAAACCACTGAAATTGAAGCAGATATGTCATACGAAAACAATAAAATAGACTCTTTCACAAAGTATCTGTTCACAGTTTGTACGATGTTTTTTTATTTATTTCAAACTAATTATTATTTTTTACTTAGCTGCGATCCGAGGAGACAGCGGACCTCCTGGCAGAGAAGGCTCAGATCGCAGAGGAGGAGGCCAAGCTGTTGGCCCACAAAGCTGCAGAAGCTGAGCAGGAGAGGCAGAGGTTAGAGGTCACCGCCATGAAGACCAAGGAGGAGAAGAGGCTGATGGAGCAGAAGATGAGGGAGGCAGAGCAGCTGGCTGTCAAGCTGGTTGAGCAGTCCGAGAGGAGGTTCGACATCATCTCGACGAGTGTTGCATTTGTCATAGTTTTATATACGTAACATTTACCTTGACAAACTGTATATGGTAAAATAATGGCTTTAAGTTAAGAGGCTTCCTTCACAGGGAATGGCTGAATAGCTGTAGTTTTAATCTTCTAATCTAATGGACTCATAATAATGCCAATCACTGGTTACCAATTTGACTGACTTTATGCAGAATGAATGAAAAACACAAATTAGTCTGCTGACGTACTCAACAGTATGCTCAGCATATTAATTCAGCAATACTCTTAATAATTTCCAGCAGTCTTGAACAAACCAAACCTCTGGTTTCAGGTTAAAGGAGGCAGATCACCTGAAACAGGACCTGACTGAGGCAAAGGATGCTGAGCGGAGAGCCAAGCAGAAACTGCTGGAGATCACCAAAACAACATACCCTGTACGGTGACTATCATTTATCTACTGTAGTGAACTCTGTACTTCCTTCATAGTTTATTCTTTGGTGGTGAATGAGGCCTCTTTTTGTTTTAAAAGTTATTATTAAATATCCCAAAAATATATATAGCTTATTGCGGTGCATACATTTCATTTAATGTGGTTGATAACTGACTGTACTTCAAAATGTTTACAGATTAGATTCATGCACAATACGAGTCATCTTTCTTGGGTTTTAAGAGAATTTTGGAGTCATTTTTAGAAAGATATATATTGTTAAATCCAAAACTGTAACAGTGACAGGTTTCCAATGTAACTGAGAAGATGATTGATATCGTTCCCTGTGTGAGTCCGTCTTTATTAATACTTGGTGGTTAAAATGACCAGCTTGTTTTAATCTTTACAGCAAACAAGAGAAAACTAATTGTTCGTAGCAATTAAGTGCATAAAAGATATTAGCAATCGTGATTTATGATTTGTCGAATTCGCTTTTATTTTATGCAGGTGTTGAATAAAACTCAAATAACCAAACCTAAAAAAATCAAATGCCTTCAAAAGTCACCATCTGTTTGTCGTCCAGCTCATAGCAGCCTACTCTACGCCCCCTGCTCCCCCCGCTGCACCTGAAGCAGTCGACTGTGCTTATGAATCCGCATCGACACGCCTCGACTTTAAGGACTCTGATATGAAGAGGCTGTCTATGGAGATTGAGAGAGAGAGGTGGGTTTAAATCTTCAGCACTTTTCTCTGGTGTGACAGTTTAACTCTGCTTGACATGTTGTTATCCATTCATGCAGGCTGGAGTACATGGAAAAGAGTAAACACCTGCAGGATCAGCTGAAGGAGCTGAAGACAGAGATCGAGTCTCTGAAGCTGGAGGAGCAGCAGCAGCAGGCCGGCCTCTACAACCACCGCAGTGAGGCGAGGGGATACGTCCAGGAGCCTCCTGTCTACCTACCTCACAGCAATGTACGTATGACAAAAAAAGAATACTCCTCAGTCATGTATAGAGCCAATGGGATGCGAAATGGTCGGAAGGCACTTTGGAAGACAAAATCAAAAGAAGAATAGGATGTTAGATTCTTCTAGCTAAGTTATGTAGGTAAATATTATGCGCACCTTTAATCAAAGGAGAGCTGGGGCAAATAAACAGTTATTGAGTTTTAATTTTAAAAAAAACTGTTCTGGTGATTGAAAAATGTGAAATGTGTTGCGCATGAAGTCGTGATGGAAGGTATTAACGAAATCTTTTCTTGTGTTTGCAGCGCAACTCTGCTTACATGTCTCAAATGGCCTACTTTGAAGAAGTTTGAATCTAATCCTGCAAAATGAGGGAGGACGACACTAGCTGTTGAGGCTCAGTGCTATCTCTAAATGTATGGTAAATTGACTTAATGTACAGACACTTACATACACCATGACTATGTGCTTTGGAAAGACTTTGAAATCCCCCTAAACAACAAACAGCTACTACTGTTTTTACAGGCTGTCCTACTTCTTGGTTCCACCTGTTGCACTTCAGCACCCACAGCTCTGAAGCAGAGTCTTTATGAATATGGAACGTACACGTGCATGACACTGGTTCATGTTTTGGGGCTGAGGATGGATGTATGAACAAGTTCTGATTTGCAGATCGTGTTTTTTTTCTGGTTTTCAGGGATACATAGCGGAGAATCATAATGACAAATAACACGAGTGCCTTCAAAACATTTTGGAAAGGACTGAAGTTAAAATGTGTCAGAGACAGGTTTATGGTAAATTTCCTGTGTTAAATGAAATCCTGTAATTTAAGTAATTTCTTAGAAGACAAAAAAAAGATTTGGCTCATTTTCGTTCACAGCAGAAAAGGGATTCTCAAATGTGGCTTTTAAAAAGAATACCTCAGAGATAACCAAATGCCACAGTTTTTATACACTACCAATATATTGTTGTATTAGATCTAAACAGAAAACAACAACCTAAAATAACTCCTGATGGATGAAATGTAGATTGGAAATGATAATCGTCAACTCGCTTATAAAACTTCTTTTGTAAAAGTGAGAATTGCAAATTTAGCAGACTTGTGCAGGGAAAGTGTCAAGATGTGACACCATAAACATTTCAAATGCAGTGTTTTTCTTTGTTTCTCATGTGTATTTGCTTTTTTTTCTGTTACTTGGTCCATACATGCCTTTACTGACATCCACAGAGTGCCTTTTTTTAGTTTTTAGTGCCTCATTATGATGGTTACAAAGTCAACCATTTCAACCTTTTGTGTTTTGTGCTCTTGACTGTTTAGTGCCTTAACTTTTTTTTGGTAAGATTTGAGTTACTTGGGTTTGAACTTGTATCACGTTGTATTTTACCTAGCCTTAGAGTTGCTTCAATTTTGGGATTGTTTTCATATCCAGACTGATTTAAAGAAATAGCAGCTTGATGGCTTTCTTTTGTGCTTTTTTTATCCTCAGCTTATGTCCTTCTCAGGGTGTTGGCGACAATCACTGCAGCTTGAGTCTCTGTGTGTGTTTCCCCCTTTAATTATCAGCTCGATGTTTACTTTTAAAGGGTTATTTTAAAGCTCAGTAGTAAATCATGTATTAAAGTCAGTACATGCACTTCATTTCACAAACACAGCCATTGGTAAACCTGAGGCCAGATGTCCAGCCAGCCATCTGACATTTCTTTATTTAATCTTTATTTTACCAGGAAAATATTCTGACAAACAATATAAGATCTCTTTTTCAAGAGAATCCTGGCCAAGACAGCCGCATAAAAGTTTCAAAGAGAGCAAAGACAGACATGTTTGCTTATTTGGATCGGTGTGTTGTATGTACTTCATTATGAACTGAACATTGATTTTCTTTTTGTTTAGAAATGAGTGAGGGTTAAACCTTGGTCTTGTGTAAATGAGATTTTGTTATAAACATATGGGCTACATGACTTAGCTTGTATCTTTAACTTTATTTATTTGTGCTATAAATCCCTAAATAATATCAGCATACACTCTTATCAGGCCAGTCTTTGTGGGCTCTTGTTTGTATTCAATTCAGTATTTGGTTTTGTTTTATTCTGAAATGGTCATTTCCTGCCAAGCTTAAAATTGATTTTCCAATAAGAAGAACTTTTTTTTTTTAAATCTCTGTTCTTTAAGGGATTTGGTTCATTTTGAAGTGTCCCAAAAACTCTCGTGCTCGACTAGGTTCTTTTTCAATGTTTTTGTAAGCACATGTCATTGCGTGTGTCTTTTTATTGCAACAGTAATCATTCATGACGGTTTTATTTTCCATCTGATATCTGGCAGACATAAAGACATTTTAATTGATAATAGACTTAAAGACAATTCTTTGAAATGTATAATATGCAGTTGAATTTGCATCAAATAACATTTACTGTATTAAAAAAAAAAATACAATGATTGATTGGTGTCCTGGCTTGTATATCTTATCTGTACAAGGATTTTATGTTCCATATTTAACCTCACTTACACTCTTTACCAGTGTGTATGGATATTTCAATGAGTCAAATCACAGGTGATGGACTTAAAACTAAGTTACTGAAGGTAACGTGCACACTTCAGCATGCAGACAAAAATCATCAATTATGAAGACATCCAAAATTGAAACCAGTTTCTACTGAGAACAAAATCAAGGGAATCTTTTGTTCTATCAACACATCAGTTTTTGCTTCCAACAGATCAGATTGAAGAAAGTGAGATGTAAAAAAAAGAAGACATAGCTCATAAGAGGTTTTTTTTCAATATGAAGATTGTAACTCTGTGCACTACAGATGAAATGTGGGGCTTTACACTGACACTAACGTTACTAAGACGTTACAAACAATTAACAGAGAATGCATTCTAAATGGACATGTAAAGAACATGCTCGTTTGCTCTGTAATCATCTGTATTTGTATGAAAAAAAAGCAGAGATTTTCCCAACTTGAATTTTATTGAAGCCTTTTATTATGGCCATGTTCCAGTGATTTTGTTCAGTTCTGCTTTTTGTGTTACATTTCGAACATTAAACCAAACCATACAACTAGGGTTAGCATGTTACACATTCCTTGTCAGTGACTAAACAACAACTTCTCAGCTTTAATATACACATTTTCATTGTTCAGGTAGCTTTAATGATATGAACGCTTCACTAAGACATCATTCAGCATCGTCTTTTGGTGACATGTAGGCTGCTTGATTTTGATCATTGCTGGGTGATGATCTGACTCTGATCATTTTCCATAGTTCGGTTAACATTGGGCCTCATCCACCATTATCTTCTTCAGTTTTTTCTTAATTTTTATTGTTTGCTTAGAAAAACATGTCGGATTCATCACGTGTTCTTAAGCTGCTGAATTATTCGCACAAGTTTCCTTGAAATTGATGAATTTAATTTCCTCATAAATTGGAAGACCGTGCATGTTTTTCCTAATAAGCATAGAAAAACGCAGACTGCAAAAGACTGCAGGGCTGTGGGCCATACACACAAACACACACACGGATTCAAAAAATAGAAGAGAAAAAGACACTGACCATATCTAATTTATTTTTTTATGTTCACAATTTGCAGGAAGCTGTCATTTATTCTAAAAATTGCCACTGTTGATGGAACGTAAATTGAAACACCTGTGGGTGAAGGCAGGTTTTTATTGTTCTGAATAAGGTTTTTTTTTTTTTTGTTTACCTTACAGCTATGTTTATATCATAAATTTAATATTTTGCAGTTATGATCAAACACGATTTAATTAAAAGTTAAGCACTTTTTTGTTTTGGTCTGTTTTGTTTTGGGTTTGTGTGTGTGTTTTTTTTATGTGGGTTGCTTGTTTTTTGTTGTTATATTTTTCAAACGTAAATTGAAACACCTGTGGGTGAAGGCAGGTTTTATTGTTCTGAATAAGGTTTTTTTTTTTTTTGTTTACCTTACAGCTATGTTTATATCATAAATTTAATATTTTGCAGTTATGATCAAACACGATTTAATTAAAAGTTAAGCACTTTTTTGTTTTGGTCTGTTTTGTTTTGGGTTTGTGTGTGTGTTTTTTTTATGTGGGTTGCTTGTTTTTTGTTGTTATATTTTTCAAAGAAAAAAACAATATGGCAAAAAAAAGTTAAAGTTAATAAGATGTATAAAGACATTATTTAAATATGGTCAAGAAAAACCTGACAGCAGTGTTACCACTGGCATATCAACACCCAAATATGCACATTCTGTTTTTTGGCTAATAACTAATCCCAGATAAGAAATATTTGGTTAATGTCATAATCTGCAACAACAACAAAAATGGTAAGTGGATTTTAAATTCTTCTTATGAACAGTTGGTGAATGAGTCCCACTGTTTTAGTATTCTGGTTTACCACCAGATGGCTCTAAAGATCATATATTAACTTCCATTTGGCATTAGTGCCTTACAAAATAGTTTGTAGGAAAGTAAGAGGTTTGTAAAGGACTGTAAAAATGTTCTAAGAGAGCAAAATTGTATCATACTTTAAAGTCTGTTAAAGATAAGTAATCCGAATGGGGAAAAAAAAGTAATGGGTAAAGATTTTGACTTTCTTCCTTGAGTCTTATGAGATACAATAAAAGCTCTCAGGATAAGCGTGTCTTTTTTTCAAAATGTTGATAGCAGCTTGTATGTTCTTTTTACTTTTAGATTTATTTTGGATTTTGGGGCTTTTTGCTTTTATTTTCTTGGACAGTGTAAGCGCGGGGAAGGACATAGAGGAAATTAGCCACAGGCTGGATTTGAACCAAGGCCGCCCACTTGGAGAACTTAGGCCTCTGTACATGAGGCGCAACCTCACCGCTAGGTCATCCCCGCAGCTTGTATCTTGTCATCATTTCAAGGCTCACATCAAATCATTCGAGGCCTTGAACTGTCAAATGGAAAAACACCGGTTGCTTTTCCCATTTTTTCAACCAACTGAAGTTTGGCGATGCGACAGGGTGACTCTACCCCTGATGTTTTGTCCTGTAACTGTATGATGAGGGTTGTTTTTGTGTCTTTTACTGCTGCTCGGCCTCTGTGGCTCAGGGGAATGGAGGCCTCAGTTAGGCAGGTGAGACCGAGCACAACTCGACACAAACTACCACTGACATCTGTGTGGCAGTAAGGGCATTGAGGGACATGGTGGTGGAGGTAAAGGTGGAGCTGAGGAACATGGAGGCCAAAGTGAAGGAAAGTGGGAGCCAGGGGGAGGAGCTGAGAGCTGCGCTGGTTGGTGCTCATGGAGCTGCTGCAGACACAGAATTCAGGTAGAGACTGTTTTCTTCTCCAGCTAAATGTTAATGATGTCTTATGTGCTTAGTGAGTGTGAAGTGTGTCAGATGCTTGGACTAAATCAGCTGCTTTAACTCAGCCTGTCAATTATTTAGCTGTTTATAGATTTCTTTAACTTGTTATTCACAGCCAAAGAACTGATTTTTTTTTTGCTGCAGAACAAGTGAAGTAGACAAAGAACATGCAGGTATTTAATGATAAACCCGATTATTAGAGTTAGAGGATGAGCAGTGCTTGTCAAACAGTGGGGAGCACCCCCCCCCCCCTGCAGGGCACAGAGACATGGGGGGGTATCCCCACATATACCTAGACAATCTGCCAAAGTATATTTGCTGCCAATTTTCCTGTTTCTTTTCTTCTTTTTGTTTTCGATATATGTGTATAATTATCAAGAAAGACTAATGGAGTAGTAGTTAATCAATCAACGATTAATGAATTCATTGCAGTGGGAGGTTTCATGTTGAATATAAGCCTGCTAATGCCGTTATTTTAATTGGGGGTGTTTGTTCATATGTTCTGCATTTAATAGGAGTATAAATAATGTTTAGAATATTATGTTCTTGTTAAATAGTGACAACACATGTTATTCTAAGTCATTATCTCCAGACTGACAGAGCAAACTATGGAGCACTGAGAGTGAGCTTCTTATGACAAAGTCCAGGATTAACCAGCTAAAAAAAATAAAACACAGGTGATGATGGTGGATACAAAAATGACTTTTTCAATCCAGGTCATGGTTAATGACAGAAAAGATTTTGTGTTCATAGAGAAACCAAAGGTCACTGAGCAGCCCTGACTACTCCTCGAGTTCCAGACGCCCCAGATATCCACCTTAAAACAGCAGCATCTTCACCAACATTGGCAAAGCATATGATTCAGCTACAGGTAATATAATGCAGACATGAGCTGGAAATATTGAACAATACACAAAACTGTTCAGGCTGATTCTGTGCTTAACAAGAAAGCTTGTTGGCAATACAAAAAGAATCAGCATGACAGAGTCTGTGTTCTTCTCACCCAAGTGTTTCTACATATTCTTTACGCATATATATATATTTTTAAATGGGGCAAACTGAGGTGGACTGTTGGCCATATGGCAATAAAAATGAGTTAGGGGTTAGGGTGATTGATGGTTAGTTTCCTTTTCTGCATAAAATGTTTAAATGGCAATGATGGGACTGCCTGGACCTCATGATGATGAACAGTTTCCCTCACAGAAACTCATCACATCAGCATGTCCAGCAGCAACAGGGATCTCAGATTTGGAAGCATGAGTATCATTCAGAGAAGTTCATTTCACCCTGAAATTCGGTCGCAACCTTTTTAACTATGGAAACCCTGAGACAGTTTCTCACATCTGTGTTCGCTGCATACTGTCTGATGGCATATGGCGCATAGATTAGAGTGATATGAGAGAAGGGGCAGGGGTACATTTAGAGCCTCAATTGCATTCTCAGGCAGCGCTGACTGTTGAATTCATGTCCTGCACGGAGAGAACAAGAGAATAGGTCTTTGAAAGGGTTTTGCTGTGAAGGCATTAAAGGAGTGAAATAATTGGGTGCTGAAGGCCTCGTCTCAGCAAAAGCAAGAATGCAAACACTTTTCTCTCCATGAACATGAAGAATGTGATGAGGGTAAAGTCAGGTGACAGGGGTTGTCATCAAGGAAATTCACAACTAAGCAGTTTAAATTAAATACATTCCTTGAACACTGCCTCACACATTCAATACGAACAGAATCAGGCCATTTATTTTTTTTTGTGTATAATTTGTATGAGGAAGCCAAGTTACACACAGATACGAGGGCTGACGTATGGCTTCTTCAGAGATGTTGATCCTTTCATGGCTGCTCTGCCCCACTGCAGGTTTAAAGTGTGCTACTTTCATGCTTGGAAACACCTCGATGGCAAGGAAGGAATGAAGCCCTGAGAAAGTCTTGCCTCTTACATTATGTACACGAAGAATTGCAGTCATAGTGATATAATGTCTGCTCACTGCTGAGTTTTTTTAATGCAGGATTGCAGGGTTGGTTTTGTTATCAGTAAGTGTCTTCATATATATTCATGAATTTGCATATATTCATCCCTGAGTTTAAGTGGTTTGTTTAAAGGTATAACAAATCTTGATAGGGTTAGGGTTAGGG